CACCAGATTTATCCTATTGTTATTCGAAAGGAGAGAAGGAGAGACAAAGAGGGACTTCTTCTTTTTCCCGCCCCCCCAAACGTATTTATTGGAGCTGGTATCAATTACCTGGCACAGCTGTAACCTTCAATATTCCATGTGGGTATTGGTCTCCATCCTGGCTATTCTACCTCCTACCCAGCTTCCCAGGAACACACCCAGGCCAGCTGCGAGGGACTGCCCAAGTGCTGCTGGCTCCAGGCTTCAAGACTGAACCATCCTGGGCCACTGCAGCTATTTGGGGAATGAACCCTTGGATGAAGGCCTCCCCTTCTCTCTCTTATTGTTTCTTTCTTTTTGCTAAAATTTATTTATTTTATTGAAAGATAGGTTTAGAGAGAGAAGGTGAAAGAGAGAAAGATCTTCCATCCACTGGTTCACTCCCCAAATGTTTGCAACACCCTGAACTGAGCAGATCTGAAGACAGAGTCAGGAACTTTTTCCAGTTCTCCTATGTGGGTTGTAGGATCCCAAGGACTTGGGCCATCCTCTACTGCTTTTCCAGGTCATAAGCAGGGAGCTGGATAGGAAGTAGGGAAGTCAGGACTAGAACTGGCATCCATATAGATGCCAGCACTGCAAGACAGAGGGTTACCCTATTGAGCCACCATGCTGGGTTTCCCCTACCCTGCCCCCGGCTCAGTTAATGATTCCCTACTACCATCATGAGAAACTCAGATACAGCTTTTTTCTTTCTTTCTTTAAGATTGATTTATTTTTATTTGAAAGGCAAATCTACATAGAAAGGAGAAAGTGAGAGGCTCCTGGCTCCTGGCTTCAGTTTGGCTGAGCTCTGGCCACTGTGGCCACTTGAGGAGTGAATCAGGAGACGGAAGATTTTCTCTGTCTCTTCTCCTATCTGCCTTTCCAATAAAAAAAAAAAAAAATCTTAAAAAAAAAAAAAAAACGAACCAAAACAAAACAGAGGGTTTTAACATGGAAGAAAAAGTTACTGAAATGGTTTCATACTCCATAATGCAATTAACCCTGAGGAAAGGATCTCAAATTTTGTGGACATATCAAACACCCATCAGTACCTGGAAAAAGAACCTTACAGATGCCCATACCTTCCTAATTACTTACCTTGTTTGCCTTATTTTCTTCATATAAACAAAAACAACATATTACAATTAAATGGAAACAATAAGCTTCCTCCACTGAAGAAATTATAAATACATTTATTCTCATTAAACAAATTTTATCTGTTATGGAAGATATGTAACTTATGTTCACTATGTAAAGTTTTAGAGCATTCTATATATCTTGATTGGGCCTGAATTACACAGGCCTGATTTGTGACAACAATTGAATGACATTTACGATTTACATACTTGCCTAAAGACAAACATTTCCACAAAAATATAAATAACATTAAAATCTAATTAGTGCTTAGGAGTAAGTTACTACTGATGGTTACAACTTCTAATATGCATCAGAAATTAGATTATGGAATGGACAGCAGGATGGCAAAAGGAAAGACAAATAAAACTAATTTAGCAGAAATGTTAATTGCTGAAGCTGGGTATTCAAGTTAGGTTTTCATTTACTTTCCTGATGCTTTTTTAAAAATGCATTTATTTATTTTAAAAATGTATTTATTTGTTTGACAGGCAGAGTTATAGAGGAAAAAGATCTTCCATCTGCTGATTCATTCTCCAAAGGGCCACAATAGTCAGGACGGGGCCAAGGCAGAAGCTTAGAGCTTCTCCTGGGAATCCCACAGGAGCACAGAGGCTCTAGTACTTGGATTTTCCTCTGCTGCTCCTAGCTCCAGGCTTCGGCCTGGCCCAGCTCTGGCTATTTTGGTCATTTGAGTGGACCAGCAGATGGAAAGACTTCTCTTCCTCCTCCCTCAACTCTGCCTTTCAAACATTTTTTTTAAAGATGTATTTTTATTTTTATTGCAAAGTCACATACACAGAGGAGGAGAGACAGAGAGGAAGATCTTCCGTCCAATGATTCACTCCCCAAGTGAGTGCAACGACCTGAGGGGTATGGGGTTCCCAGGCTTTGGACCATCCTTGACTGCTTTCTCAGGCCACAATCAGGGAACTGGATGGGAAGTGGAACAGCCAAGATACAAACTGGCGCTGATATGGGATCCTGGCGCATGCAAGACGAGGATTTAGCCACTAGGCTACCACACAAAAGATTTATTTATGTGAAAGGAACAATGATGGAGAGAAAAGAAGAATGAGAGAGAGAGACTGATTTTGCATTAGCTGATTCACTCCCTAAACGCATGCAAACATTTACAGATGGGCCAGGCAGAAGCCAGGAACTCCATCAGAGTCTCCTATATTGAGTGGAAGGAACCTAAGGACTTGTGTCATCATCATCTGCCTCCCATGTGCATTAGCAGGAGGCTGGATCAAAGCAGAGAAGGGGCCCAGCATAGTATCCTAGCAGCTAAAGTCCTCACCTTGAACACGCCAGGATCCCATATGGGCACCGGTTCTAATCCCGGCAGTTCCACTTCCTATCTAGCTCCCTGCTTGTGGCCTGGGAAAGCAGTCGAAAATGACCCAAAGCCTTGGGACCCTGCACCCACATGGGAGACCTGGAAGAAGCTCCTAGCCCCTGGCTTCGGATCAGCTCAGCTCCAGTTATTGCGCTCACTTGGGGACTGAATCACTGGATGGAAGATCTTCCTCTCCGTCTCTCCTCTTCTCTAGATACCTGACTTTGCAATAAAGATAAATAAACCTTAAAAAAAAAAAAAAAAAAGACAAGATTCAATCCCAGGCACTCTGACACAGGGCATGAGCAAACGGCAGCTCTATCCACGGCTGCACATCAGCAGCCTCAGCAATGACCACTGAAGGACAAAAACAGCTTTCTACCAAAACAAACAATACCATCATTCCATCAAAAGTACTTAACAGATACATCATTACTATAATTTGTAGCACATATTTATTTTCCCCAATTATTCCTAAATGTCCTTTACTTTTTGCTCAGGATCAAACCAGAGGTCACACATCACACCCAATGGCACTGTGTCCTCAGCTGACAGGGTTACACTGCCTTTCCAGACTGCCACCACAGTGTCAGTATACACTACTTTGTAGTTATAATCCTCTCCTAATTAACAACTAATTCCTTGAGGACTCTTTATTCTCCAGACCCATAATGTCTGGCTCATGGGTTTCAATAAATGTTGGCTGAGTGTACGAAATCAAGAGCGACAAACAGCAATTTTGACAATGTTGGAAGGATTCGTGTCCCCGAAACACCCTTGTGGAAGCCCTAACTTCCATTTTCTATGGAAGGACTCTGAAGGAGACAAACGAGTTTTGATGCAATGAGAGGCCTGGGACCCTAATCCAATAGGGCTGATGTCCCCACAGGAAGAGGACACAGCAGGAGTCTATGCACATGGAGAAGGCCACATGAGACCGTAGTCATGCTATGTCATGAAAAGTGGTCCCAGCAGAAAGCAAACCTCCCAGGTTGGACCTGCAGCCTCCAGAAGAAAAAACAAACTGTTATTTAGTTTGTGGGACTCTTTGGTGACAGTCCAAGGTGATTCACACAATGACCAAAATCCTCTGGCCTGTAGTTCCTGTGGATGATGGAATGCTAGGGTTAACCTACGTTTGTTATAACAAAGAGACATGCAAAAGACCTATTCTTACTGTGTCTTGAAAGGTGAATTTCATATTTAACAGAAAGAATATGACAGAAAACATTTGTAATGCTTGTCATGTAGATTTTTTTCAAAACTCAGAGGGTAACATTCAGTCTAGCAGTTAAGACATTCACATTACACACCAGAGGGCCAGGATTTGACACCTAGCTCCATTTCCTGATTCTGGATTCCCGCTAATGCAAACTCTGGAAAGCAGAAGTGATGGTTATGGCTAACGTGACTCTGTCCTTGCCACCCACACTGGAAACCTACACTTAGTCCCTGGATGCCAGCTTTAGCTGCTGTAGGTATTTGGGAAGTGAACTAAATGATGATGATTTCTGTTTCGGAGGGGAAGGGGAGAGAGAGAATGTGTGTCAGTGTGTCTATGTCTGTCTCTTCACCATTCACATAAAACAAGTTGGATACTGAAGACGCTAAAAAGCATGGTGAAACTGCTAGTGTCAACCAGTAATGGTAGCTAATCAGACGGATAAGAAGATATTCAGAAACACAGAGTAAAGGGTGCACACCCAAAGAACATACTTCAGCAGGCCTTGAGCAAAATGACAGGCTCATTTCCTTCACTTCTGCTCCTTAAGATACCTGCTGCTGGGCTGCTACCTGACCATGTCATGTCTCATCTTCGCCCACACAGACCAGGCTAATGGCTTGGGAAAGTAGGAGATGCTGGCTCAAGTCCTCGGGCCCCAGTATTCACAGGGAAGGCTCAGAAGTTGTTCCAGGGCCCAGCTTTGGACCTGCGCAATTCTAGCTAGCCATCACGGCCTTTTGGAGGTGAATCAGCAAACACTCCCCAAAACACTTTCTGTCTCTCCATCCTTTCTTTATAACTCTGCATTTCGGGTAAAAATAAATCAACCTTGGGGGAAAAAATAGGAAAACTGAGACTGACTAACTTCCATTCCTACTTGCTCTTGTTAGAGCAGCTATAACATCGTTACAACTGCCTGAACTTTACTTCTGGTGCTCAATAACACGAATATCATTCAGAATGCTCTCAAGGTTTGAATATAAAAATTAAGCTTCAAAGCAATTAAAACAGGTATTAAATGCATATAGAAATCTAGATCATTCTTGGGACTCCAGAGTTCACTGCCATTATTTCAAAGTACCAATGAATCTGAAATCATTCCACTAAGTCTAACAAATACCGGGAAAGCTAAAATCATTAGAGAATGTTCACTTGTGGATTTGTTCTTCAAATAAAAAATTAGACCAACAAGAAAAGAAATTTGAAGCACAAATTGGACTGGTACCTTATGTTTATGTACACACACACAGCGGTTTTATTCTTTGCATCATTTACCTTCTGCCCTTCTCACAAAGCTTCTCAATTTCAGCCTTCAGATCCTGCTCCTTCTGCAAAAACTCCTTCTTTTCCTTCTCTATCTTCTTCTTTGTTTCTTCTCGCTTTATTGTCACATCCTGAATAGCCTTTAGTATCTCCTGGATCCCACACAATTGTAGTCACAAAGAAGGAGACAAGTTAATTCTTCCGATCTGCAGATTACTCTCAGTCATCACAAATGCACATCCTGACTTCAGTAAACTCAACTCAACTGCATGAACCTATGAGCAGCTCCAAAAGCCAGGGCAGAGACTTATGGGAGAAAGCTATAGTAACACAGATTTCCATAGGAGAGAGAATTTCTATCACAACTATCCAAAAATGGAAACATGCCACCTTTTGAAGCAGTAAGCACTCCATTACAGGTGTCGAAATAAAGCATGACTGAACACCTGTCAAGAATGCTGAGAAAAGCAGTCCTGTACCAGGTGGGAATCTGTTGCAGTCAACAAATATGGTCTTGTTTTCTTACAGCTCTGCTACACTGTGTGTAATAGGTTTTCCTTTGTTACAACTTCACAGTAACAACAAATACATACACACACATGCAAAATGAGTCAAACATAAGCTGACAGTTGGGCTGCTTGCATCCCATAGAAGACTGGCTGGGTCTGAGTCCTGTCTCTGCTCCCAGTTCCAGCTTCCTGCGACTATCTACCCTGGCAGGCAGTGGCGATGGTTCATGCGGTCAGATTCCTGCCGCCCTCATGAGAGACCTGGGTTGATTCCCAGCTATTGATTATTGCTGGACTAAGCCCCAGGCCATGCAGGCACTGGGAGAGTGAACAAACACATAGCAGACCCCTGCCTGTCTTTCAAGTAAACTAAAAAACTAAATAAACACTTTCTCAAAAAAGATTAGGGCCTGTGTGTGGCACAGCAAGTAAAGGTGCCACTGGAATGCCAGTGTCCTGTGTAGGTGCCTGTTTGTTCCTTGCTGCTCCATTTTGATCTGGCTTCCTGCTAACAGCCTGGGAAATTAATGGAAGATTGCTCAGGTGTCTGCGAACCTTCCACCCACATGAGAGACCCAGAAGTTGTTCCTAGCTTCTGGCACTGGATTGTTCCAGCACTGGCTACTGCAGCTGACAGTCCTTTCTCTGTTTCTACTTATCTCTTCATAAACCTTACTCTTAACGAAAAACCATTAAAAATTTAAGTTAAGGGCCCTGTGTGGTAGCCTAGTGGCTAAAGTCTTCGCCTTGAATGTGCCAGGATCCCATATGGGCTCCGGTACTAACCCCAGGGGCCCCACTTCCCGTCCAGCTCCCTTTAAAAAATTTTAAGTTAAATAACATGACATTTATAAAGTTAACAGCTACCCTTGGTTTCAGAAAACTTATATTCATACAGAAATCAATAAGGTAAATGCATTGTGCAATGCTTTCATATCTTTCTTTTTTTAAAAAAAGATTTATTTACTTTTATTGTAAAGTCAGATATACAGAGAGGAGGAGAGACAGAGAGGAAGAGCTTCTGTCCAATGATTCACTCCCCAAGTGACAGCAATGGCCGGAACAGAGCGAATCCAATGCCAGGAGCCTCAGCCTCCTCCAGGTCTTCAACGTGGTTGCAGAATCCAAAGGCTTTGGGTTGTCCTTGACTGCTTTCCCAGGACACAAGCAGGGAGCTGGTTGGGAAGCGGGGCTGCAAGGATTAGAACCGGCGTCCATATGGGATCCCAGCGCGTTCAAGGTGAGGACTTTAGTTGCTGAGCTACTGTGCCGGGCCCATCTTTCTCTATTCTTATGTAAAAATACACACAATGCAAGTTTCAGAAAGTTTAAGCGAAGTATATATTTTTAAAGAGCTTTTAAAAACTTATTTGAAGAGCTGTCAGAGATCGTCCAGGGTCCACCCCTCAAAATATCATAGCTGCTGCAGTTGGCCAGAAAAAACCAAGAGCCTAGGATTCCATCTGGGTCTTTCATGTGAGTGGCAGAGACCCAAGGACTCGGGTCATTTTCTGCTGTTTTCCCAAGCATGTTAGCAGGGAGCCACCTAGACAGAAAGCAGAGCAGCTGGTACTTGAACTGGCACCCATATATAATGTCAGTCGTGCGTCAGGCAGCATCTTAACCCTATAAGCCACAACACTGAACCCTGAAAACGTGTATCATGAAAAAATGAAGTATAGGTTTCAAATTTTGTACCAAGGTAAACTTGTCTTATAATTTTCTTATTTCCATTAACTTTTAAAGCAACCTTTATACTTATACAAATGCAACAATTTCTTATTAAATCATTTAAATATGCTAATCTGCATCCTGCTTTTTCCCACTGGCATGAACATACTTGGTCAATACAGATGCTCAACAACAGCTGTGTAAAGCAGGCATCTGGCACAGCGGTTAGAATGCCACTTGTAATGCCCACCTCCCATCCTAGAGGGCCTGCATTGAGGCCCAGCTTTACTTCATATGACACCACATGAACAGATCTAATTAATCCAATCAATCTTTGTCAAGGTTCCAACAAGTTTACTCCAAAGTTTTTATAATCACATTTCTAATCTATTTTAATTTTTTAAAGATTCACTTATTTTACTTTTGAAATAATTACAAAGAGAAAAAGGGAAACAGAGAGAGAAAACTCTTCCATCCACTCTATCACTCCCCAGAGAGCCACAACAGCCAATTCTGCAATAAACATTCTGTAAGTCTATACTGTGTGTGTGTGTGTGTGTGTGTGTGATGACCTTGAGTTGGGCCAAGCTTTTCTTTCTTTTTCTTTTTTAATTCTTATTGGAAAGGCAGATTTACAGAGAGAAGGAGATAGAAAGAAAGACCTTCCATCTGCTGGTTTACTCCCCAAGTGGAGCTGAGCCAATCCAAAGCCAGAAGCCAGGAGTCTCTTCCTGGTCTCCCACGCAGGTGCAGAGTCCCAAAATCTTGGGCCATCCTCTATTGCTTTCCCAGGACAGAAGCAGGGAGCTGGATGGGAAGTGGAACAACCAGGACATGAACCAGTATTTGGGAAGTAAGCTAGTAAACAGAAGTGCAAAATGGCCCTGCCATCCACACAGCATGGACTTCATGGCTCCTGGCTTTGGCCTGGTCCAGTCCCACATTCTAAAGCCATATGAGGACTAAGCCAGTGGATGGAAGCACTCTCTCTTTTTAACTCTGCCTTTAAGATAAACAAACAGATATTAGAAAAGAATAGCCTCTGTTGATGTACTGAATTTGGAGTCCCTGCCTGCACTTGCCTTGGCAGGGCCAGTGCACCTGATTTTGTGGGCCTTCTCTCTCCCTCGAGTCAGACACTGCCCTTCCCTACTCTTGAGGCCAGAAAGGCAAGGAAGCATGTTCTATCACAGAATCCCTATAACATAATGGCTTGATTTTAGCCCACTGACATGCACATTGGGTTACATTGTTGGTCAAATAATGATTTTGCATTGCTTTTAATCACTAAATTTATCATAATTTCAAAACCATTCCTGGTATTTCTATATAGTGACATTATCATGAATTTGTAGGAGTCTTCATGATATCATAAACATTAAATCTTTTATTAGATATGCTACAAATATTTTCTCTCAATCTAACAATTTTTTGGCCATACTTCATCTACTTTACTGAAAAATTTTAATCACACATAATCAGACTAATCACTTTTGCTTGCTTATTGGTTTTCTGCTTTATTTAATCTCCCATAATCTGAGGCTCTATAAATATTCTCCTAAATAATCTAAACTAAAGTTTCTAATTTTTAACTTGCTTGGAACTATACTTCTAACATAGATAAGGCAAGAGTGGGCATTAAGCATGGCAGTTAAGATATCACATTGAATACCCAAATTCCACCTTGACTGAATACCTTGGATTGATTTCCAGCCTGCTCAAGATTGCAGATTCTTGCCAATATACACCCTAGAAAGTAGCAGGTTGATGGCTTAAGTGATTGAGTCCCATGTGAGAGACCCAGATGATCATCACAGGATTTACGATAAAGAGCAAAGTACCTTGTCTGAACTCTTACCCCTATTACAGTTCGGAGAGAAAAGAACTATTTATTTAATAAATGGATTAATTATATGCTTTGTTGACATAATTATCCATCAGATTTATAACATATATTCCCCCCACACTATCCATCCATCCATCCAACCATCCATCCATCTGAAAGCAGGCAGAGACAGAGAGGTCTTCCACCTGCTGGTTTACTCCCCACAAGCCTGCAATAGCCACAACTAATCCAGACTAAAGCCAAGAGCCAGATGCCAATCCAGGTCTCCAATACAGGTGCCAGGGACCCAAGTCACCATCTGCTGCTTCTCAGGGTATACACTAACAGGAAGCTGGAATCAAGAGGAGACAGAACCCGAAGCCAGGACCTCCACTATGGGATAAAGGCGTAACAAGCAGCATCTGAACTATTATAGCAAATGCCTACTACCCCTGACAATTTCACCATAAGCAAAATACCTGATGATTCTTCATTTCTTCCTCTCTCCTCTGCTGAAGCTGCTTCAATTGCACTTGGAGCTGATTCTCCACTTGCCTCTGTTTGTCCAGGACCTCCTGATAACGCTCCTTCAAGAGCGTCCTCTCTGTCATCATTTTATCCTATTGGGAACAACACAAGAAAAGTTAAGTGCCAATGTAACCACAAGAAATATTCTCCAAGGTTCAGTGTTTGGGTAAAGAGTTGAACCATGGCTTTTGATTCCAGCATCCCACAAGGAAATGATAGTTCAAGTCCCAGTTTCTCCACTTTCCATGCAGTTTCCTGACATTGAGGCTGGAAGGCAGAAGATAACAGCCCAAGTGCTTGAGTCCCTGCCACTCACATGGGAGAGCCAGACTCCCGGGCTTCTGGCTTTGGCCTAGTCCAGTCCCAGCTGCTGAGAGAAGCTGGGGAGTAAATAAGCAAACAGAAGATCTCACTCATTCTGCTTCACTTGGCCTTTCAAATAAACAGATACATCCTTAAGAGGGCGGGTGGAAAGAGAGAACGGAAAGGTCTGCTAAGTGCATTGTGCAAATCTCTAGTTGAATTGTCCAAGACCACAGCTACCAGAATATGAAGTTATATAATTTTAGATTAAAATATGACGAAACAGAAAAACCTAGGCTCTTACTGCCTAGCTACATCTTAAGTACTCAAAAGCCACATGTGACTAACAGTGGTTAGCATACTAAACAGCACAGGTATTTCCAAAGTTCCAGAAAGTATTATTAAACAACATTACCCAAAGGCTATGCTGACAACTTATGGTGTGAGCCAAATCTGGGCATCTCCTGTTGTGTACATTGAACTTTTACTACAATAAGACCACACCTATTAGTTAATCAGTTACTTTCACACTATGTGGTAGAGTGGAATAACTATAACAGAGGCCAAATAAGCCAGAGATCCTAGAATATGTACCATCTGACTCTCTATTAAAAATGTTTGTTGGGCCCAGCGCGATAGTGTAGTAGTAAAAATCCTCACCTTGCACGCCAAGGATCCCATATGGGCGCTAGTTCTAATTCCGGTACCCTGCTTCCCATCCAGCTCCCTGCTTGTGACCTGGGAAAGCAGCCGAAAATGACCCAAAGCCTCGGGACCCTGCACCCACATGGGAGACCTAGAAGAAGCTCCTGGCTCCGGGCTTCGGATTGACTCAGCTCTAGCCATTGCGGCCACTTGGGGACTGAATCATTGGACGGAAGATCTTCCTCCCTGTCTCTCCTCTTCTTTGTATATCTGACTTTCAAATATAAAATAAATAAATCTTTAAAAAAAATTTTGGTCAACCTTTGCTCTAGGAGTTATGAAGGAGGAGGTATTTTATCATCATCAGAATAGAGAAAAAAAACAAAGCACAAAAACAAAGAACAATGATCCAATCAAATGCATCCAAAACACAATCCTGAAGTCTATAGAATCCTGCATTCCAAAGGAACAACTGGTAAATCCTCATGTAATCTAGGGATTAGACTTCTGAGGCTTCTGAGGGTCCTGTCAGCCCTGCCTCCCCCATAGCAGTAAACCAAGAAAAGCAGTGTGGCATCTTTGTGTCACAGCAGTCTAAGCCACTGCTGGTGATGCAGGCATGGGACAGCAGAGCACCAATAAAGTCCTGGCTGCTCCACCTTCAATCCAGCTCCCTGCTAAAATGTGCATGGGAATACAGCAGGTGATGACCCAAGGGCTTGGATGCTCCCTGCTATCCAAGTGGAAGACCTGGGTAGAGCTCTTGGTTCCTGACTCTGAACAGGAATGTTTAGAGGAAACAAGAGGGTAGAAGGTCTCACTTCTCCCTTTCTCTGTAACTCTGCTTGTCAAAAACTAAACTAAACTAAACTAAACTAAAATAAAGCCTAGTGCAGTAGCGTTGTGGTTAAGGTCCTTGCCTTGGGCATGCCAGGATCCCATATGGGCGTTGGTTCTAGTCCGGCAGCTCCACTTCCCATCCAGCTCCCTGGCTGCGGCCTGGGAAAGCAGTCGAGGATGGCCCAAAGCCTTGGGATCCTGCACCCACGTGGGAGACCTGGAAGACGTTCCTGGCTCCTGGCTTCAGATCGGCGCAGCACTGGCCATTGCGGCCACTTGGGGAGTGAATCATCAGACAGAGGATCTTCCTCTCTGTCTCTCCTCCCTGTACATCTGTCTTTCCAATAAAAATAAATAAATCTTAAAAATAAATAAATAAAATTAAAACATACCTGCACACCAGCACTACCCAAAAGAATACAGTCCAACAAAACACAACCCTGGGGCCCTTTTTGGGGCCAACAACTTACTGGTTTTCCACTTTTTATCAAAAGGATGTATTCCTTCAATTGTCATATATTCACCTAAACCCGTTTACCATTGTGAGGACAAAATAAAGACAATGTAAAGTGCTTAAAGTAAGCCCTTACAGAAAGATGACTTCTCGCCTCCCTGAGGTTCTTCTATACCCTGATTTCCACCCAGTCCTTCTCTACCTCTCTCTTAAGACCTTTCTACTTGACTCAGTTATAGTTCTCTAGTTAAAACCTTTCATTGTGGGGCTGGTACCACAGGGTAATAGTTTAAGCCCCTGCCTGTGTTGCTGGCATCTCATACGGGCACCTGTGCAAGCCTCAGTTGTTCCACTTCTGATCTAGCACCCTGCTAATACGCCTAGGAAAGCAGCAGAAGATGGCCTAAGTCCTTTGACCCCTGTACCCATTTGGGAGACCAAGAAGAAGCTCCATGATCCTGGCTTCAGACAGCCTCAGCTTCAGCCATTGCAGCCATTTGGGGAATGAGCCAATGGATAGAAGAAGTCTTTTTCTGTAAATCTGCCTTTCAAATAAAAATAAGCAAAATTTTTAACTTAAATGTGTATTGATTTCATTTGCTGAAAGTATTACAGTAGCTTATTTCTTTACATCTGGCCCTCCCTTTCCTCAACTTGTACCAAATATCCAATTTCTTATATGTCAGAAGCAATGTTCCTCCCTCAATGAACACATCTTATCCCAAAGGTTTCTTCCCGATCCTGGGTATTTCTCCCAGCACTAGCATTCCTCTTAAACACACAAATACACACACACGGAAAAAGAGACAAATATCACCTAATAATGATAAATGTATCAATTCAACAAAGGAAAATTACAAGTGCAAACACCTATGTGTAAACACTGGATTACTCAAATGTGTGAAGCACACATCACCTATAAAGAGACAGACTCTAATACACCAATTATCAGGAGCCTCAACAGCACACTGTCATGAAGGGATGGAACAGCCAGACAGAAAAACCAACAAAGGAACATCCAAGGGAAATTTTACTACAGAGCAAATGGACTTAACACACATGGACAGAACACCCGACAGCTGTAGGACGCACATTCTTCTTTCAGCACATGGAACACTACCAGGAGACCATATGTCAGGCCACAAAACGAGTCTCAACAAACAGTGAAGAACTGAAATACTAGCATGCACCTTCTCTGACAACGAAGGGAGTAAAACTATTTCTTAAAAAAATATATAAATGAAAACTCAGCATACCAAAACCTATGGGATACAGAAGAGCAGGACTAAGAAGCAAGTATACAGCAAGAAGTAAACTTAAAACTAAAACCCACAATGTGCCAGTATTGTGGCACAGCATGTTAAGCAGTAGCATGTAACACCAGCAACACACACTATAGCAATCAATGTCCAACCCCTGCTGTTCCATTTCTGATCCAGCTCTTGGCTAATGTTCCTGAGAAACAACAGAATACAGTTCAAGTACTTTGGCCTCCGCCACATGCGTGGGAGATCCAGATGGAGTTCCTGGCTACTGTCTCCAACCTGGCCCAGTCCCAGATGCTGTTCTCATTTAACAAGTGAACCAGCAGACGTAATACCTCTCTGTCTCTCCCTTTCTCTGTAACATCTGTCTTTCAAATAAATAAATCCTTTGGACCCTGCACCCATGCATGAGACCTGGAAGAAGCTGCTGGCTTCTGGTTTTGGAATGGCCCAACTCTGGCTGTTGCAACCAACCAGCAAATGGAAGATTTCCCTCTCTACAACTTTGCCTTCACAATTTAAAATATATATATAGCTAGACAGAGATAGATATCAGTATAACTTTTACACATATATATACATATATCTTTTAAAAAGAAAACAAGGGAGCCCGGTGTGGGAGCCTAGCAGCTAAAGTCCTTGCCTAAAACGTGCCAGGATCCCATATGGGTGCCGGTTCTAATCCCGGCAGCCCTGCTTCCCATCCAGCTCCCTGCCTGTGGCCTAGGAAAGCAGTCAAGGACGGCCCAAAGCTTTGGGACCCTGCACCCATGTGGGAGACACAGAAGAGGCTTTTGACTCCTGGTTTTGGATTGGCTCAGCTCCAGCCGTTGCAGCCGCTTGGGGAGTGAATCATCGGACGCAAGATCTTCCTCTCTGTCTCTCCTCCTCTCTGTACATCTGCCTTTCCAATAAAAATAAATAAATCTTAAAAAAAAATTCCCGAAGTGGTCACAATGGCCAGAGTGAAGCCAATCTAAAGCCAGGAACCAGGAGCCTCTTCCAGGTCTCCCATGCAGGTGCAGGGTCCCAAACTTTAGGCCATCCTCTACTACTTTCCCAGGCCACAAGCAGGGAGCTGGAGGGAAGTGGAGCGGCTGGGCATGAACAAGCACCCATATTGGATCCCTGTGCTTGTGAGGGAAGAATTAACCAGTTGATCTTACATGGGAGACCCAGAAGAAGTTTCTATCTTCACATTGGCTCAGCTTTGCCATTGGGGCCACTTGGGGAGTGAACCAGCAAATGGAAGCTCTTTCTCTATCTCCTTCTCTCTGAAAAACTGCCTTTCAAATAAAAATAAATAAACCTTACCCCCCAAAAATCCTTTAAAGATAAATAAATACATAAAACCTATAAAACGGACCAGGTATTGTGACGTAGTGGGCCAACCTGCCAACTAGGATACCTGGACAACCGCACTCACGTGGGAGTCCTAGTTTCAACTACTCTGCCTCTGATCCTGTTTCCCAATAATGTGCTTGGGAGGTGGCAGATGATGGACCAAGAGCCTGGGTTCTAGCCCCCCACATGGTGAGACCCAGATGGGCTTCCTGGCTCCTGGTTTTGGCATGGCCCAGTTCTGGTTGCTATGGGTATCTGAGTAAGTGAACCATGCAATGGAAGAGCTCTACCATTCCTTCCATCACTCTTCCTTTTAAATAAATAAAACTTAAAAAAAAAAAAAACCTTACGGCACTCCCTAAATATATGAGAGTAATTCAGAAAGCCAGTGGAAAATGGAATTAAATGATGTTTACTTTGCTGCAAAATAAAAATCCAAGCCAGTTTTTAATAATACTCATTTCTCATGAGCTTTTTGAAAACCTCTCACATATATGGTTGCAAAATTTTCTTAGACTAAAATGTGCTTAATTGTATTTATTATTATTATTTCTTAATGTGCTTAATTTTTAATTCCATTTTCCATGAACTCTGTGAAGTACTCCTACACACACCCAAAGGAGCTACGGTCAGTAAGCCAGACACGTGGACTCACGTGCTCACAGCAGCACTATTCACACCAGCTAAGGCCTGCAGACAAGCAGACACCCAGAAAAAGAAACAAACTACGCAGTCACAACACATTACTATTTGGCCATGAGGAAGAATGAAATTCTGCCATCTGCAGCTGCACCTACAGAACTAAAAGACATCAAGACACGCACAGGAAGACAACCATCACGTGTTCTCACTTTTATGTGGATGACAAAAAAAGCACAGAATGGTAGTTATGAGTATAGAGAAATAGTGGATGATGCGATGGTTAGTGGGGTACAGCCAGATAGGATGTTCTGCCTTGACTGCTAGAAGCGATAACAATGAACTGAAGGTTTTAAAACAGATCATAAAAGATTCCAAGAAATGATAAATGTCAGGTGATACACAGGTCACATATCTAATCACCATATATCGTATGTGGTACACGATAACCCACAAACATACTGAAATGTCACAATACGCTTTTGCCGTTGTAAGGCTTGGCTGCTCCATTCTGATCCAGCTCCCTGTTGATGGCCTGGGAAGGCAGGAGAGGAACTACTGCTCGGACTTCTGCACCCACGTGGGAGACCTGGCAGAAGCTCCAGACTCCAGGCTTTAGCCTGGTTCAGACCTGGCTACTGCAGCCACTGGAGGAATGAACTAGCGCACAGAACACTTTTCTCTATCTTTGTGACTCTGATTCACAAATAAAAACAACAACAACAAAAAAGAAATGTCATAACATACCTCATGAATACAACTGTACCAATTAAAAATAAAACCATGTTCTAAAAAGCATTTTCCAGACACGGGGGCTAGAGGAGATCTGCAGTAAGACTCGGGAAACACACAGTATTATGACCTAACTATAATCTAGCTGGGTTGCTACATATTGGTTCTCAGGACCACTTTTTAAAAGAAAACACTACTGAGCCCGGCAGCATGGCCTAGCGGCTAAAGTCCTTGCCTTGAACGTGCTGGGATCCCATATGGGCGCCAGTTCTAATCCCGGCAGCTCCATTTCCCATCCAGCTCCCTGCCTGTGGCCTGGGAAAGCAGTGGAGGATGGCCGAAAGCTTTAGGACCCTGCGCCTGTGTGGAATACCCGGAGGAGGTTCCTGGATCCTAGCTTCGGATCGGTATAGCATCGGCCGTTGTGCTCACTTGGGGAGTGAATCATCGGATGGAAGATCTTCCCCTCTGTCTCTTCTCCTCTCTGTATATCTGACTTTCCAATAAATAAATAAATCTTAAAAAAAAAAAAAACACTGCTAAAATGAGGCATGTCTAGGTAAAAACAAGAGGATGATGAAAGACTAAAAAAATGGTCCAGCACAGTAGCATAGTGGCTAAAGTCCTCTCCTTATACACCCAGGATCCCATATGGGTGCCAGTTCATATCCTGGCTGCTCCACTTCTCTTCCAGCTCCCTGTTTATAGCCTGGGAAAGCAGCCGAGGATAGCCTAAATTCTTGAGACCCTGTGTACCCACGTGGGAGACTTAGAAGCAGTTCCTGGTTCCTGGCTTCAGATTGGCTCAGCACTGACCATTGTGGCTACTTGGGGAGTAAACCAGCAGATGGAAGATCTCTGTCTCTCCTTCACTCTGTAAATCTGACTTTCCAATAAAATCTTTCTTAAAATTACATTTAGAAAGCAAGAGCACTAAAATACATGTGAGGATGTTTTATCTTTACAGGTCTGGATTTAAGCAGCATGAGGAAGAAGCTTCAAATATACATAATGGTAAAAAGAAGAGAAATTAGATTTATTTCTAAAAGCCTTAGAGAGAACCATATCAAGAATTTACATGGGGTTGGTATTGTGGCAGTACATATTAAACTACTGCTTTCATGTGCTGGCATGCCACGGGAACACTCATTCAAGTCCCAGACGCTCTACCGTCAATCCAGCTCCCTGATGGTACTCCTGGGGAAGGCACTGGAAGATAGCCCAAATGCCTGGGTTCTTGCCGCCCACATGGGAAACCCAGGGAGAGCTGTAGGCTGGTGGCTTCAGCCTAGACCAATCAGAATCATCAAGCCAATTAGGGAGTGAAGCAGCAGATGGGAAATCTTTATAATACTGCCTTTCAAATAAATAAGTAATCCTTAGGGAGAGAAGAAAAACAGGCAAGGGGAAGAGTTCTATGATTTAGTAGGTTAAGTCTCCATCTATGGTGCCAGCATCCCATGTGGGCAACGGTTCAAGTCCTAGCTGCAGCTGCTCCACTTCTAATTCAGATCCCTGCTAATGCTTTAACCACTTGCGCCACCGCGCCGGGCCCTTTCCCTGCTAATGCTACGGGAAGGCAGCAGAAGATGGTCCAAATCCTTGCGCCCCTGCACCCGTACGGGAGACCTGGAAGAAGCTCTTGGCTTCATATTAGACCATCTCAGGGTGAATCAGCACATGGAAGATTCTCTCCTTCTAAAACAAATAAAACTTAAAAAAAAAAAAGGAGGGGGAGAATTCACAGAGGTTCTGTCTTCATCTCAGATTGAGAATTCACAAAAAGAGCTATTTTGTAAACTGCAGTAGTAGGCTCTGGAGGGAGCAAGCTTTCCATCTCTGGGAAGTAGAAGTTAGCTGACCATCTTGCATTTTCTTTCAACTGAGATAACACGGCTCCAGATCTGTTTGAAAGGTTTCCTGTAACAACAGTGACAGCTAAAACACTTACCAGATTCTTTTCAATATCTTGATCTGTGTTTACCTCTGAATCAGCTGTTTTAAAGTCAGTCTGTAAAGGAAGAAACAACTGTATTTAGAGCTTTTCTGAGACTCCTGAAGAAGGGTAGACATTCTAGGACTTCCACCTAGACATCTGCCACAAGTAACTGAGAAGCAGTTTTGCGCTCTCCCCCTGTAGACTTCCCAGCATGAAGAGCAAGGCAGTTCTGGCAAATGGACACCAACATCCACGTGACAGTAATCATCTGCCCCACGCAAGACACTGCACGAAACTCAGCGACTGACTGAAACAGTGCCAACTCTGACATGATGGTTTTGCCTCTGTAACCTAGGGTGCCCGTGCTTCCTCCTATGACAAAGCACACCCGTCACTAGAAGGCAGGATACACTGTACTTCTTAAGATGCAGGTCAGAGAGTTAACAAGGATTCCTCCTGCAAGGACAAAGACGGGAAATATGAATGCCAATGACCTGCATTCATCAATTCCTCAGTGAAAGAGATCACATGTAGGTCACAAAATCCCCACTGGCCATAAAAACAGACACTGGCACTGGTTGATTAACTGAACATCAAAACAAACTCATTGACTGGCATTGTGTGAAAAGAAAACAGCATGGTGGTGGCTAGCCAAAAAAAAAAAAAAAAAAAATTTGAGACAGCATAGTTCTCCACTGCCTACGATGGAATATCTCCTACCCTCAACCCCCCACCCAAATTCCACTGTAGTAGTAGAAACTTGATACTTGACCTGTACCGCAATGTTCTGAGAAAGCTTCAGGGAAGGGCTATCCTGATCATCATCATCCTCATCCACTCTGACTCCTTCAACCCCATTTGCTGGAGACACCACAGGTCGGAAATCCAAGCCTGTGTCCCTGCTCCCTTCCTTTGGCATGGAGGCTTGTGGGCACTTCTCTTCAGAGCCGTTCTCGGAGGCGGGCTGCTGTGTACGGCACCCTGCCTTCTGAGATCGAGAAACCGGACGGAGGCTCTCCTGGAGGCTCGTGTCCCCCTCCTCGCCTGCTGTGCTGGCCAAGTCCTTCATAGCAGACTGAGACTCACTGCCAGAAAGACAAAGGGCTGTGGCTATCAAGTTTTCTCCTACAACTTCCTGGCGCGCTGCTGGCGTGTCACCTGCTGATGAACCGGGATTCGGCTCTGGGTGTTCCAAATGGACATTTCTCTTATTCTCCTTGGTTAGCGTTTGGCTACTTACACTCGACGGAGGCGAGTTCTTCTGCTTCTGTGCAGGGTCTTTGGGGCTATCAAAAACATAAACAAGTTTCTCTTATCACTCAGTCTTTCAGAGGATTTGGTATATACAGCTGCCAACAAACCAATAGAAAAACAAAACCAGGGAGACTTAATTCCCACCCAATGATTTCTTCGCATTCGTGAGCAGTAAGCCTTGGGGGTTGAGAATCTGAGTTCTGGAGACAGTCTGGAGTAAATGAACACAGTCTACAGTAAATGCCGAAACAAGAATGACCGAGGTTCTAAAAACAGGCTGAGGGCCAAGATGAATACAGATGAAACAACCTAATGCTAATTAGACTACATGCATTAACTGAATCACACATACTTCAATAAGGAAAATAAGCTAGAAATACTGATTCCTCTCTTGCTATTTCATGAACTACATTTTTGCTCAAACTTATGTTTATACACACACATACAAACATACATATCCTTGATCAGAATCACTTAGGCTCTCAACAGTTTTCCAGAGCACAGCATGCTCACTTCAAGTATCTCAATACAATCTAGCACTTCCACATGGGTGGCAGGAATGCAACTTCTGGAGCCCTCACTTGCGGCCCTGAAGGGTGCTCATTAGCAGGAAGCTGGGACTGGGAGTGGAGCCAGGACCCCTGGGAGGGATGCGGATGTTCCAACCAGGGGCTTCCTCCGCAAGGTCACACACTCACGCCAAAGGACCTTATGATGATATGCACATTCATAACTGTTAGTCCTTCACCCAGAAATTAAGCCTATGGTAAATTTCTTTGCTCTCTCACCCTTTTCTTTAACCAATACTTTCAACCGATCCCCTTAACCATCACACACTAACACTTCCTGAGGATTCACCTCAATACATCTTTCCTTTCTCAACAGCACCCACCTGTTCAAAATAAAATAACTGAGAGAACATTTCACAAAATGAAAATATAAATGCTCTAACCTTACCACTTGCTAATGGAAACTAGCTATGGTGTAGTGTGAGGGGAGAAACTTCTTCACAAATGAGGGCATATGGGCCCAGGGCAATAGCCTTGAGGCTAAATCCTCACCGTGCATGGGCCAGGATCCCATATGGTTGTCAGTTCATATCTTGGCACTTGGGAAGCTCCACTTCCCATCCAGCTGTTGTGGCCTTGGAAAGCAGTCGAAGATGGCCAAAAGCCGTGGGATTCTGCATCCATGCGGGAGACCAGGAAGGGGCTCCTGGCTCCTGGCTCCAGATCAGCCCTTGCAGTCACTTTTCGGGAGTGAACCAGTAAACAGAAGATCTTTCTCTGTCTCTCCTTCTTTCTGTGAGTCTGACTTTTCCATAAAAATAAACATCTTTTTTTTTTTAAAAAAAATGCAGGCATACACAGTAACTGGGCTTAACTCCTCTGCCATCTACTAGTTGACTGAGACTAGGCGAATTATTTCATTAGCAAGACAGAAGAAATAATCCCCTACCTAATAGGACTGCTGTAAGGATTACACTAGGAAAACATAAATAAAGCACCCAACACATAGTGAACACTCCGTAAACCTTAGATGCAATTACTATTAGCAGTAATATGCGGTTGACCTTCTCTATAAAGTGAAGAATGACAGTAAGACAGAAGCTTGGGGCCAGTGCTATGGCACAAGTTACTGCCTGATACCAGAATCCCCTGTAAGCACAAGTTTAACTTCTGACTGCTTCGCTGTTGATCCAGCTTCCTGCTAACACACCTGGAGGAGCCACGGAAGATAATCTAAGAGCTTAGATCCCTGCCACCCATGGGAGAGACCCAGGTGAAATTTTGGGTTCCTAGCTTTCGCCTGGCTCTGACCATTGGAAATAAACAAATAAATCTTACAATAATAATTTTTTAAAGGCTATGGAGAGGTGAACACAACATTTAAAATGAGTCGCCCTTGAGAGTGCCTGCTATGACAGCCAGCTCCAGCCAACTTCCTGTTAATACAAACCCTGGCAGGCAGGGGTGATGGCTCGAGTAGCTGGGATCCTGCCACCCTTCCTGTACTCAATGCCCAGCCCAATTTCGGCCCCTGATTTCGGTTTCCTAGCTAAAGATGTGCACCACATCTGGGGAGACGGAGCTAGAGATATGGGAGTCCTCTCTATCTAATTCTGAAATCTATGTCACAAAGCATTTGTGGAAAGTGAAATTTTAAAAAGCATCTTAAAAAAAAGCATCTGTTGGGCCCGGCGTGGCCTAGCAGCTAAAGTCCTCGCCTTGAATGCGCCAGGATCCCCTATGAGCGCTGGTTCTAATCCTAGCAGCTCCACTTCCCATCCAGCTCCCTGCTTGTGGCCTGGCCTTGGGACCCTGCACCCACGCGGGAGACCCGGAAGAGGTTCCTGGTTCCCAGCTTCAGACTGGCACAGCTCCAGCTGTTGCGGCCGCCTGGGGAGTGAATCATCGGACGGAAGATCTTCCTCTCTATCTCTTCTCCTCTCCGTATATCTGACTTTGTAATAAAAATAAAATAAATCTTAAAAAAAAAGCATCTATTTTGATACAAACAAATTTTGAAATCCAGGTAGTTTCTTCCGAAATATGCATTTTCCATTAACTTTCTGAAGACTCCTTAAATAGCCAACTGGTTTTAGTGTGCTATGTAACAATGTATTAAGCACATGTGTCAGTAACTCAATCACAATTCTTACCTTGTTGTTACATGGGAGTAACAACATACTACACAACAGGCTACACTAACAGACATCTAGACACATACACACTCATACGCATCTTCCCTGATAAATTACTTATGTATCCACACGTCTTCTAGGTATTTATATACAAACATACAGTTAAAAGGACAGGTTGTCCACATAGGACCAGGGAAACAATTGCATTTAGAATGTCTGACCCCTGTGTTCTAAACTAGTCATTCATCAAACAGTTAGCATGTCCGAGTGGCAGGTTCCAGGCTGAACTGCAGCAATGCCAACACAGGATATAAAGTCCCTAACATTAAAAAAAAAAGCTTCATCCAGTTGGAGTGTCCATTGCAGCTGCAAAGAGGAAAAGCAAGCCTGCCTCAGTCACCCTTCGCCCAAACACATCTTCAAGAAGCTGCAATTACCTTAGACCATCTGGGAGACCTTCATCGGATTTGGATGCACACACGCTAGAAGATTCCGGAGGGTCAGGCGCATTGGCCACAACACCAGCTACCTCGGGGGCGGCCATCATGTTCTACACATTCGGGAACAAAGCACAGCTGTCAAGATTGAAAGCAAAGGCTATCTTTCCAACCTCAGCATCGCCACACAATAGGGTGATAGAACCATCACGGAAAAGGAGAATGCATGGGGTTCCAGAAGAAAACCTTCAGGTCTTGTGTAAAAAAGGCCCCTCAACAGCCACTGCAGGCGAGAGGTGCACTGAGCATCCAACCTCAGACGTCACCAACGTCTGTGCAAGACTTGCATTCTTCTGCTTGGCAGAAGTGTAGCTATTCCAAACAGATGACAGTGCATGAAAATCTTGCCAGCATTTGTCAAGCAGCGTTTATCAAGGATGGGGGGGGATCAACAGTACCTCAGGTTTTTAAATCACGTCATGGATGCTATGTTCAATGTCTTCTCTATTCATGTCAAAACTGTTTTGAAGGGAGGTGTTTGTGTAGGAGAACAAGTAGTATGCCACCCTGCCACCCCAGCGTGTGTCTTCTTCCCCGAACCCAGGTGCTGCTCCCCGCGGATGGGGAGTCCGCTGAGCAACCACAGCGATGCAGCTACCAGGTATCTACACAACAATTTGCACGACATTGGCCAGGTGACCTGGCTGGGTGCTCCCCTGCTTGTCAATCAAAAGGTCACCCTTTTCGCTGCAGGACCTTCTAGGGGAAACAGACCAAAACAAACCCCTTGGGAGGCAGAAAGGTGAAGCTCGCTCACTTGCAATCTGGCTGCATCACAGTGTACCCCCCCCAAACACTGCGGAGTGCCCAGGGCAGCCATGGCGACCGCGCAGTGTCAACACTGCACAGTCCACACACCCGCTGGGTCTCTCTTGCCCGCACTCCACCAGGTGCTTGCAACAACAAAACAAAACAGAACACCGATCCCCTCCACCCCCAATCGCCATGACTGCTTCCCAACAGCGAGCAGGGTCGGGGTTGCTGGAGCGAGCTCCGGCCAAGGCTCAGACCCGCAGGTTCCTGGTCACAGCGGGGCTGGGGGTGCAGGAGGGAGCTTGGCCGGGGGGCAGTGGAGCCGAGGGGTCCGCTGCGTCCGAGGGAATCCTCGGCGGGACGGACAGCGGACAATGGGGGACCCCGCGCGCGCGCACCCCCACTGCTAGGCCAGGACCCCCGACGCGGGGGCTCGCAGCACCCTCCACGCCCCCCACCCCGGGCCCAGGCCGCCCCCCACCACCTCCCGCTCCTCCCGCGCCGCCCGCGCCCCCCGGGACCCCCGGTGGGTGCTGGGGCAGGGTGGGGGGCAGGGACGGGACGCACCTGAGCGGCCGGGGCGGGGGGAGGGGGCGGCCGAGCACGGGGGGGAGGGGTCCGGCGCCGGCCCGCGCGCGCCGCACCTCCCACTTCCGGCGGCGCGAACGGAGGGGGCGCGGCCCGGGACCCCGGGAGGAGGCGAGGCGGCGGCGGCGGCGTCCTGCCGCCCCCGACGGCGCCCCCTGGCGGCGCGCGGCTGCGGCGGAGGACCGCGGCCGGGTCGAGGGGGGCGGCTCTCCCGGGGCGGCCCGGCTGACGGGGAGGGTCGGGCGTAGTGGCCTCCGGGCGAGGACGGCCGCGAGGTGCTTGGGGAAGGTCGGGACCGACATGCCCTCTGCCGCGGGCGCCGTGGGCAGAGCAGCCCGCCTGCGGAGGGGCGGAGTGTGCGGGGCGCCGGGAGAAGCGTCCCGGGAGCCGCCCCGTCTCCCCGGCCCGGCCGCCCAGCGCGCCCCGGGAGCCCGCGGGCCCGGGCGGGGACCGGCCGCCGATTGGCCGCGGCGCGGGCGGAAGTGATGCGGCTGTCACTGGCTCGGCGGCTCCCGGGAAGCCGCGAGTTTCCGCGGGGAGGCGGCGGCGGCCGGGCAGGGTGAGTGGGGAACGGGCCGGGCAGAGTCGGGGTTGGCCCGGTGGCGGGGAGCAGGCGGCCGAGGCTGAGGGAGCTGCCCCGGCTGTGAGGGCGCGGACGGTCCGATCGCTGCGGACGGGTCCCGAGGAGGGCGCACGCTGCTCGGACTCCTTCAGAGCCTGGTGCCGCTGCGAGGAGGGCTGGCGCTTGAACTCGGGCCACCCGCCTGCGCCTCCTGCTTCCTCGGCACTCGGAGCTGCAGACAGAGCCCTACGGCCCAGGGAGGCCGAGGACGGCTTCCAGAAGGAACTGGGAGTTTTTCCTGGAAGCCGGCGGGGTCCCAGGCAGGCAGGCCGGACGAGCTCGCGGAAGAAGGGGTGGCGCCGTGTCCTGGGGGCGCGTCTCCCTGGCTGTAGCGGTGTTTTTATGTAGTGGTGTCTGCAGACAGAGAAGAGTCACCTGAACCGCTTGGGACTGGTGGGGCTACTTCTGCCCAGCGAGGGGAAAATGTAAGGGGGGCGGCGGCTATGGACGGTAACCTAAGAGGACAAGAGGAATGGAGGATTCTGGAGGGAAACGACAGGTGGTGTGTAAGCTGCCTTGAGTTGCAAACATTTGGGGATATGTGAGAACTAAGCCCTACCCAGGATGCCCCCAGCCTGGCCCCAACAGGGACTCCTGCAGGAGCCCTGCCAATCATTGAGCTTTGCAGGACAAGTTCCCTGGTTCTTTCCAACCCAGGCAGTTGGAGTTTAGACCCTTGGAGCCCCCAGCCTCACCAGGCATTGATGAGCTGGTTTTAGGGGTAACATCTTAGAGCCACCTCCCAGTCCTGCCTGTCTCCTGTACACCCACTTTCTCTTTACACCTGATCAGCTCCATTGCAGCCTCTTGCTTTTCCACGCTCACCCTGCTCCTACCCCCCCCTTTTTTTTTTAAAGATTGATTATTTTTATTGGAAAGTCAGATCTATAAAGAGAAGAGGAGAGGCAGAGAAAGATCTTCCGTCCAATGATTCACTCCCCAGGTGACCGCGACGGTCGGTGCTTCGCTGATCCAAAGCCAGGAGTCAAAAGCCTCTTCCAGGTCTCCCTTGCGGGTGCAGGGTTCCAAGGCTTTGAGCCATCCTCAACTGCTTTCCCAGGCCACAAGCAGGGAGCTGGATGGGAAGCGGAGCTGTCAGGATTAGAACCCATGCCCATATGAGATCCGGGTGCATCCAAGGCGAGGACTTTAGTCACCAGGCCATAGTACCGGGCCTCTCCCGCCCACTCTTACATTTCCAGCATCCTTTGGAGATGCACAGTCAGGGCATTAGATGACCATGGAATTCTAGGAAGGGTGTGGGCAACAGTCCCCTGCTAGGTCAACTGGAGAAGAACAGAAAGGGGTTACTTGTAATAGGACAAAAAGGAGAGTTTTTGGGTTTGGTGCTGACTCTGCCCTCCTGGACCTGTCCATGACCGGCAAATGATACTTGGTCATTGGTGGCCAATGTCTTTGGTCCTGAAGTTCATGGCCGATGGTGCTGAGTTTGGTGGGACACTGTTTCCTTCCATTGTTTGGGCCCACAGATCTGCAGCCTGCGCTGAGTCAGCACTGCTCAGCTGGCCAGCGATGCCCTGTCTCCGTCTGCACAAAATGACAGTGCCAGAGTCCACCAGCCCAGGAGCTCAACCTCACGCTGAATCCAGGTAGGAAGGAGCCCCTCCCCCTGTTTCCAGCCACTGTGGGAAGTCAGCCCTGAGGGCCACTAGACGGAGAGGGGGACCACCTGCATGAGGGAGGGTTCTCTCCGAAAGATCATTGTGTCTTGGGAGTGACGTGCTCTGAGCATGGAGGTGCAGCCAACTGTTGTTTGCCTGGTGTCCTGGACACAAGGACAGTACCCACTGGCCTGCACTCCCCAGGGGGTGCGGCCCTACCAAAACGAACAGAAAGACAGGATCAAATGTTGAATAATTTAAAAAGGACAGAGTGGAGGTGACCGGTGAGAGGGGAGCACACTGGCTCAGCGTGCCCCTCTCAGAACCCTGCCACTCAGCCCTCTGATGTCTTTGCCGTCTCTCTCTCTACCTACAGCCTGCTGCTCTGATGCCGAAGGGGAGGCAGGAAGTGCCACACATCGATGCCCCCCTGGGCTTGCCCACCTGCCTCTGGCAGTTAGCAGGGCTCTGCTTACTGCTTCCCTGGTTCCTGGGCCTGGCAGAGGCAGGCGGGCCTGAGGCCCAGCAGCCAGGGGGGCTCAGCTGGGCCGTGCGTCTGCACAGCCGGGAAGGTGAGCAGGAGGAAAAGACTATGCAACGGCGGGCTGATGCCCTGGCGCAGGCAGCAGGGCTGGTGAACACAGGGCGCATCGGCGAGCTCCGCGGGCACTACCTGTTTGTGCAGCCTGCTGGACACAGGCCAGCCATGGACGTGGAGGCTGCCCGGCAGCAGGCCGAGGCTGTGCTGGCTGGCCACGCAGATGTGCGCTGGCACTCCGAGCAGAGGCTGCTCAGACGCACCAAGCGTAGCATCTATTTCAACGACCCCAAGTACCCACAGCAGTGGCACCTGGTAAGTCCCGCCCTGCCATGGCCGGTTGCAAAGGGAACAGTTCCTTCTGAGCCCCTTTTTTTTGGGGGGGGGGGGTAGGGGGATGCTGACCATATCACTGCTCAGTTGTTACCATCGATGGCATCTGCAGACTGGGCTGAGAGTGTGCCCTTGGTCCATACCCTGCCTCGTGTCTGTGCGCTCCACAGTCGTAAATCAGCTCAGCGTGGAAGCTCTTTGAGGGCTAATTCATGTCTGCACTGAGCACCTCCGACGGGTGTGGACAAAGCATGTCATGAAAACACTGTGTGTGGGTTTGTATCATGATGGACTTACTCGTCTTTTTATTTTTTAAGAAATCAAGATTGATCTCATTCATTTAAAAGGCAGAATGACAAAGAGAGGGAGAGACAGGGAAAGATGCCTTCCATCCCCCGATTTATTTCCCACTCGGATGCAAGCAGCTAGGGCTGGTCCAGGCTGACCCAGGAGCCAGAAACCCATCCAGGTCTCGCTCATGGGCGGCAGGGTCCAAAGACTTGGGCCATCTTTTGAAGAAGTGAGATGGGAAGCAGAGCATGTGGGACTCCAGCTGGCACTCTGATATGTAGTCCAGTGTCTGAAGCAGCAGCTTAACTTGCTGTGCCACCACACCACCTCCTAGACAGAACTTTCTTTTTTTTCTTTTTTTTTTTTAAGATTTATTTATTTGAAAGGCAGAGTAACAGAGAGAGGGAGAAGCAGAGGTTTTCTATCTGCTGGTTCACTCCCCCAAATGGCCACAGTGGTCAGGGCTGTAGCAGGCCAAGGCCAGGAGCTTGGGGCTCCCTTGGGGTTACTCCACACGGGGTCCATCTTCCGCTGCTTTCCGAGGTGCATTAACAGGAGGTTAGATCAGAAGCGGAGCAGTCGGGATTCAAACAGGTGCTCTGATAAGGGACGCTGGCATTGCAGGTGATGCCTTAACCTGCTGTATCACAGTGCTGAGCTCTGAACAGGTTTTGTTGTGTTTATTGGAAAGTCAGATAAAGGAAGATCTTCCGTCCATTGATTCACTCTCTAAATGGCCACAGTGGCCGGAGCTGCACCAATCCAAAGCCAGGAGCCAGGAGCCTCTTCCAGGTCTCCCTTGCGGGTGCAGGGTCCCAAGGCTTTGGGCCATCCTCAACTGCTTTCCCAGGCCACAAGCAGGAAGCTGGATGGGAAGTGGAGCTGCCAGGATTAGAACCAGCAACCATATGGGATCCTGGCACGCTGGGCCCCCTAACCGTACCCTGGCGTAGTTTTTTTGTTTTGTTTTGTTTTGTTTTTTTGCCTTGCCATTATTTACCAAGGAATACGGTGTATAGCTATCATATTACACTAGAAGGGTGTATTAGAAGGCTATAAATATCCTATGGCAATCCTCTGCTGTTTCTATGAAACCTATCTCAGTTCCTCAATCTGTGAAAGGGGCTGGTGTGTCCCTGCCTTGGGGAGTCACACCTGGGGTCTGGGAGCTGGTACAGGTGAAGCCCTAGACACATGGCAAACTCGACCTGACTAGCAATAATTACTGATGTCACTGGTACAGTTACCAACACTTAACCCTGGCCACCCTTTTACCCTGAGCCGCTCAGGGGCCATGCCAAACTTCCCTGGAGACCTGAGTTGTGACGAAACTCCCTTGTACCCCTCTGACTCAGTCTCCACCTGACCCACTTGGCCTATAGCCTCTGTCGACCTCTTTGGGGGATCCCAAGGTGGGCAAAGGGGCTGCTGCCTGTAGCCTGACCTCTCCCTGGGCCGTGCTGTGTGTCGCTGGCCTCCCACCTTGTCGGCTCTTGCGCAGAACAACCGACAGAGCCCCGGCAGAGACATCAACGTGACAGGTGTGTGGGAGCGCAACGTCACGGGCCGAGGGGTCACAGTAGTGGTGGTGGATGACGGAGTGGAGCACACTGTCCAGGACATTGCACCCAACTACGTAAGTGCCCGGGAACCTCTGCCCTCCCGCCCACAGCCCACAGCCTGCTTCCTGCTGCAGCCTCAGCCCATCCCTTTGCAAATCTGGGGCTGGGAGATGGGCGGGCTTTCTTCTGTCCTTCCCCCAGCCAACACTGCAGACATGTCGTTAAGGCATGGCAGGTGGCTCCAGTCGCCCCACTGGTGAGCAATCCGAAGAGGTACTTCCTGCTTCCTGGAGAGGAAGGAGTGGCCCTGCAAATGGCTTCTGAGTGCCTGCCTTCTGTTTGAAGGTGGGCCTTTAGGTAGCCCTAATTCACTGCCATGCAGGGTTCCCAAAGTTGTGGGCACTCCCTTCTTGGCCCATTGCTGCAACGGGCAAGAGGAGGTTGCTGTTTCACTTCTCCTTTTCACCCCAATGTTCAGGCACCCCCTCTTGTGGCCCATGTGGTTTGCAGAGAAATGGGCTCACTGCTGCTGCTTGGCATTCCCAGACTGCCAGTTCCTATCCTTCCCTGAGCTCCAAGCCCTAACCCCATAGCACCAGTGAGTGAGTGACCTCATGTCATCTCCCCAACCCCCGGAAAATTTCAGAGCCCAGAGGGGAGCTACGACCTCAACTCCAACGACCCTGACCCCATGCCCCACCCGGACTTGGAGAATGGGAACCACCATGGCACACGCTGTGCTGGAGAGATAGCCGCCGTGCCCAACAACAGCTTCTGTGCAGTGGGCGTGGCCTTCGGGAGCCGTATCGCAGGTGACTGGCACTTCTTTCGCATGCCACCCTTGGCACACAGAGCTTGGAGCCACGTGCAGCTTATGCCGGCTGTCACAGGCCAGTCAGTGCAGGGGCGTTTCCACCATGAGTTTTAGCTGCGGGGCCCACCCCAAAAAGCAGCTGAACATGCAGTTGTTGACATACCCTAGAAGGGCCCCTGCTCACCGCCCCCTTCTTCTGAGCATGGTTCTGCCCCATCAGTGACCTAAGGCCTTGTCATCATGGCTGCTTGTGCTTGGCCCTGCAGTCCCCTGCTGTCCTTGCATTGTCCTCCTTTAAAGGGTGCCTTCTCGGGTGTTCTTCCTCCTTGACCCCATGGTGTCTGGAGGCTCCTCATGCCCTCCGTCCTCCTGATGTGGTTGCCTTCTTTTCTTTCATTGGAGCTGAGTAACCTTACCTGCCACCCCTCCCCAACCTCCACTCTGCCTCCAGAGATGGATTTGTCCTTTGCCTCATGGCCCTTTTTCTCTACGGCATATGTGAAGGAAGGGAATATGGGGTCACCCTCTCCGTGATTCCTAATAATGGCTGGGAATCTACAGGCTGACTGTATATCTCTCATTCTCCAGCAGAGGGCAGTATTCCTCTGAAAACGAGACTCCAGAAGGCCCCAGAAATCTGGGGTCTAAGACCCTTCTGAAAGCACCTCTTCTAGCCCTAGAGTCAGCAGGGTGTGGTCACCCTGTTTCAGAGGGTGAAGTTAAACCTTTGTGGGAGTTGGCATGGTAATGGTTCTGTTGACTGAACACCTCTGGGTGTTGGGAACTGGGCTAGATGTTTTAGATGTTATTAAGAGTGGAGGCGAGAAGGGAGCCTTGGGCGCCTACGGCCAACTCCATGACTCCACTAGACCTCATGCTCAGTAAAGCCCAAGTTCCACTGAGATGTTACAAAACATTACTGCATCTTCATGGCATAAAAATTCAAGAAGTGCCCAAGAGCCGAGAGGGGAGATTCAGTCTCCCATGGGGGACACCCACCAGCCCACACCCATTGTTGTCGCACTGTTGACGGCTGCTCATGGGCCAGCGTCAGTGAGGAGCTGGTGTGATGTCCCCCACCTAGGTATCCGGGTGCTGGACGGACCCCTCACTGACAGCATGGAGGCGGTGGCATTCAACAAGCACTACCAGATCAATGACATCTACAGCTGCAGGTGAGAGGGGGCCAGGTGGGAGTGCTGGGAGGGGCCGACCCCTGGCCTGGCAGGGGTCTCCTGGTTGGGTTCAGTTGATCCATTGCTCTCATTGCTCCCAGCCGCTGGGTTCTCAGGCTAAAGTCGCTGTCACCCCAGTAAGCAGGTTGTTGTTTGCGAAGGGGTGAGCTTTGCTCTCAGTCACAGGGGAGCCGAGTGTCCAGCGCCAGTCCCCAGCACCCTGACAACTGTCCCTGCAGCACAGGTGCAGCCATGCATGGATACCCCCGTTCCTGTCCCCAAGCAGTACCACCTGAACGCATGCTGTTGTCCCCAAGAAGCACTTCCCCTTGCAGAAATAGAGAGCTCCTCAGCCTGGGAACCAAGAATTTAACCCAAGTCAAACACCTCTTCATCAGGGGTTGGATCTATGAATGCTTTGTGCATTATGGGGTCCTGAACTGGAGAGCAGGAGGAGCCCCAAGGGCAGGCCAGCCTAGACTGGGAGGCCCTAGGCGCAGCGCCTCAGCTTGGTCCTGACTCTTACCTCTAGGCTTTTCTTCACAGCTGGGGCCCTGATGATGACGGGAAGACGGTAGATGGCCCGCACCAGCTTGGGAAGGTACACAACCGCGTGGGGAAGCTCTGGGGGTCTATGCTCCCTCAGTCTATCCTGCCTCACTTGCCCGCCCCTCTGGCCCTACTGACCCCTCTTGGAGAAGAGTATGTCTGACCTGGGGCCCAGGAGCAGGTTTATTTATTTGTTTGCTGGATCAGAAGCAGAGTAGCCAGGACCCCTGCCAGCACCCGGATGAGATGCTGGCATCTCGGGTGGCAGCCTTACACCGCAGCGCCAGCCTTGCACTGGCATTAGAGGAGTAGCCGTGCTTTGGGGCCAGTTCCCTTGCAGCTCGTGCTTGGCTCCCGTTCCCACTCATCTGGTAAAAGGAATCCATGCAGCAGCTGTTGGGCTAACAGCCCCCTTTCCACCTGGCTCTGTGTATAACTCTCCTCAGGTGCCCAGAGCCCTTCCGCTGGCTTCTTGTCCTCTTTCCAGTAGGGGAGGAGGGCGTGACGGGCCTGGGCACAGAGGCCTCTCCAGGGACGCTTGGCTCACGGCCTGACCCTCTCACTGCCCAGGCTGCCTTGCAACACGGGGTGATGGCTGGCCGCCGGGGCTTCGGGAGCATCTTCGTGGTGGCCAGTGGAAACGGGGGCCAACACAACGACAACTGCAACTACGACGGCTACGCCAACTCCATCTACACGGTCACCATAGGTAGGGCCCGGGGGCTCTGGGGCTGCTGGTGGGCATACGGTGCTCGGTGTGAGGAGGGCTGTGTACACCTACATGCTTCCACGGAGCTGCACACATGGCCCTCATCATATCTTTGGTCTCAGGGAGCTCAGAAAGCTCAGAGCTCAGAGACTCAGAGAGCCCAGCTCTCAGGGGTCCCACTGATCTGCCTCCATCACCCCTGCAACCAGTTAAGCCACAGCTCTGACCACTCTCTTCCATCCCCTCCTGCTTGTAGCCTCCCGTGAGTCCCATGGCCTAAATCAAGTCCCCTTGTTTACATGTGCCCCCGGCTTTAGCATGTGCCAAGTGACTCCATACTTCTTAACATGACTATACTTTTTAAAAAAGATTCATTTATTTATTTGAAAAGCAGATTTACAAAGAAAGAGAGGAATAGAAATCTTTCATCTGCTGATTCATTGCTCAGATGGCCACAACAGCTGGATCCTAGCTAATCTGAAGCTGGAGTCCAGGAGCTTCTTGCAGGTCTCCCACATGGGTGCAGAGGCCCAAGGGCTTGAGCCGTCTTCTGCCTTCCCAGTGCACAGCAGGGAGCTGAGTCAGAAGCAGAGCAGCCAGAACTCAAAGCAGTGCTCATATGGAATCCCAGCACTGGAAGTGGCATCTTTACCTGATGCACCACAGCACTAGACCTGATTGTACTTCTTACCTGACCCTAGGCCCTTTGCCCATCTGGTTCTTCCTGTGGTCTTTTGTATGTGGCCCAGTGCCTAGTACAACGTGGGGCTTACAGGGGATCCTTAGCAGGTGTTGCAGAAATGAACATGTGAGTGAACAAAGAGGCTGAGAGGTAGGAAGCCCCCAGATGTACAAGCAGCCTACTACTTTGGGCACTGAGCACCTTCTGCCGCTCGAGGCTGCTTGGGCTGAGGAGCTCCTTGGACAAGCTGGACCCTTGAATCACACAGACCTTTTCTTTTTTTTAACCTTAAGTCAGGCCCTCTGCAGGACCAACCCCTCCCCTCCTGTGTGCGCAGGTGCCGTGGACGAGGAGGGTCGGATGCCCTTCTACGCAGAGGAGTGTGCCTCCATGCTGGCTGTCACCTTCAGCGGCGGGGACAAGATGCTCCGCAGCATTGTAAGTCCTGCCGCCTCGGCCCTGTCACAGCCCCACAGGCATGTGCTTCTGTTGCTGCTCCCCTGTGCTGTCAGATCTGCCTCTTACCATTTTTGATGACGCACCGAGTGTTGTGCTGGTTCAACAGCATCTTTGAAATGTCTTCCTATGGTAGGATTTGGATTTTGGCTAATCTGTAGGCTTAGGAAAATCATTCCACTGCTCTTCAGCCCTTGTGTAAATATGCTGTGTTCTGGCACTGTGCATCCTCAGCAGGGAAGCGAGTGGCTGTCTCTACTGGGTGGGCGGGACAGCCGTTAGCCAGGAGCTAGAGAAATGTGCCCTGTACATTGAGAGCACCTTTTCTGCTCAGCTATCATTGGAGCCACAATAAGGAGCCTGGAGCGGGGCAGGACCCATCTGCAGCCTCTAGAACCCGCTGCCTTGCCCCTGGCCAGGCTTCGCTCTCTCCCTTCAGGTTTAACCCAGGTCTCTGAGAGCCGCTGTGGGGCCAGGCTGACTCCAGGCAAGAGCTGAGTCCCAGCCAGATGGTGTCAGATTTCGCCAGTGGCTGAGTTGGGAGGGCTCCCTGAGACCACTGGGAATTTGGCTGCTTTGTCTTCATGCCAGGTCAAGTTCATTTTCCAAAACATGGAATCTTGTTATGTTAATAAATGACTTCGGGTCAACACAATATTCCGGGGGCTCTTTGCCAGTTGACCCCTACTCCGTCCCTGCCTTACTCTAAAAACAAAGCTCCAGGCCACAGTGAAAAGGCAAGAGAGACTTTGCTTGGCATGCTGGGGTTTGAGCACCCCAGGCCTGTCGGCTCCAGGAGGATGGGAGGGACCCACACTCTGTTGACCCCTGCCCCCGACAGAGCTCCAAGAACCCAACTCCCCCTGTGTGGGCAGAGGCCTAAACAGGTACCACAGCAACTTTGCCACTCTTGATCCGTGGCACCTGGCTTTCCTCCTCCCAAGTCAGCTCAGGATCGTCAAACCCAGTCCCACCTTCCCACCTTCCATCCGAAGTCTAATGTATCCAGGAATGAAGAGAGTTTGCTTTGCCAAGTTCCAATCCTGGGAATATTCTGGCCCCAGAACCCTCCTGCCGGTTTCTGTTCACTGACTGGAGCAGTGGGCAGAGCTGTCCTCCCGAGGGCAGGGATGGGAGCTCTCCATCACATGGCTGCCTGGGGGAGCTCCCGTGGGCTTTTCTAGGGTTCCTGCCACCATGGGCGAGCATGTGTCCTTCATAGGAAGTGGCGATCTGCTCCCTGGCCCAGCACAGGCTGGCCCCGTCATGAACACTGCAACTTGAAAAGTGCTTTTCCCTTTCCTTGTGGGAGTGCAGTGGAGGAGATTACATCTCCAGGCCCTGCTGGAACAGCTGGGAGGGAAGTAATGAGTACAATGGAGACAGGGCAGCTCTTGGCAGAAGCTGGCATCCTGGAATCTGACCCAAAAGTAAGATTTGGAAGAAATAAATTCTTTGCTGTTAGCAGTGGCACTGTGTGCCAAGGGGTCTGGGTGCCACCACAGGGAGTGCCTTTAGGAGGCTCCGTGGCTGTCGAGGAATGAACAGAACCCGATGCTGTATGCACGTCATCTTGTCCTCCCACCAGTCCTATTCCTTCAGTTCAGGAGCACGAGTAGACAAGGGGGCCCATGCAAACCGAGCTGAGGGGCTCAGCCCAGAGCAGTGGAGCAGCTGGCCCTGTTGAAGGCTGGAGGACCAGGTCTGCAGGCCGTGGACATGGGGGGTGTGCAAGGACACAGCCCTTTCCCTGGGAACATGCTCCTCAAGTTTGCCCCTGTCACTGAGCTGCCAAGTTGCATTTCCTTGCCTGGTGCCGTCACTGTTGTTCCAGCTCCAGCTGGGGCCCGGGAGCTGCCCTGGCTCCTTCCTGCATCTGGCTTGGTTGCGGGGGTTGGAGAACTGGATGGAGAAGCCGGGAATGAGAGCAGCAAAAATGGGGAAGCTTGAGTCTGTGCCAGAGGCCTCCTACCGCTCTCCATTCTATTGCCCCTCGGAAGTGACTTGAATTTTACTGTCCATGCTCCTGTCTTTCAGAGGTCTTCTTAAGGAGGCCAGAGGGGCGAAGGTCTCCTTTGTCCTTTGTCCCTGCTGGCACCATCGCCATCTCTGGTCAAGGTTCAGCTCTAAAAGAGGAAAGCATAACCAGGGCCTGTTCTAGCCTGCACTAACCTCCCTCTTCCCCCCCTCCAAGACACCCTTGAATTCCATCTCTAACCACTGTCCACTCACCAGGTGACCACTGACTGGGACCTTCAGAAGGGCACTGGCTGCACTGAGGGCCACACAGGGACCTCAGCTGCAGCGCCCTTGGCAGCCGGCATGATCGCCTTAATGCTGCAGGTGCGGCCCTGCCTCACGTGGCGAGATGTCCAGCACATCATCGTCTTCACGGCCACCCAGGTAGGACAGCAGCGGTAGACCCCAGAGTCCATGTGGGGAAAAGGGGGAGACAGACGGTCAAGGTCCCACATGCAAAGTGCCTGGTCCTTTTCAGCACTACATGTGTAAAGAGCAAGGATCCCACAGAGAGGCCAGTCCTTACCCTGCTGGTGCCCTTTGCTCACAGAGAGCTCCAGGCAGCCCCAGGCCAGTGCCTCCCAGCACCCCTCTCTAGGGACAAGCCACCAGGGTGGTGACATCATGGGACTTTGAACTTTTGTCCTAGCTTTCCTTGGGGAATCCATTCCTGGTAGCCTCACTGGGAGAATGAGCTGGCTCAGCTGGCCAGGGTGAGTGGGAAAAGAAGCGTGAAGTGCTGGGGTTTGCACTGGCAAGGCCTGGGACTCACGGGGGCCTCTATTGTCCCAGTACGAAGATCGCCATGCAGACTGGATCACCAACGAGGCGGGCTTCAGCCATAGCCACCAACATGGCTTTGGCCTGCTCAATGCCTGGAGACTCGTGAATGCGGCAAAGGTGACCGGGATGGCAGGGTACCCTGTGTGGCGGGACCGAGGGAAGGGGCCACATGCCTGGAGCACTGCTTCATATGTGTGCCTTCGTGTCATTCAACCCCACCAACTGAGAACTGGCAAAGGAAGCTCAGCGCTTTCCGAGAAGCTTCCAGACTAAGGGCAGAGTGAGCTGGGCTGGGTCTGGCACTATGTCCCCAGGCACCAGCAGGAGCCTCGGGAGGGAGAGGTTGCGATAAGGACAGGAGACAGAAGGAGGCCATGCATGAACATGTGTCCCTTGCAGGTCTGGACCTCTGTCCCTTACTTAGCTTCCTACGTCAGCCCCGTAATCAAAGAGAACAAGGCCATCCCGCAGTCGCCCCGCACCCTGGAGGTCCGCTGGAATGGTAAGCCATCAGCATGCAGGGGTTAATCCGCTGCACGGCTCCGGGTGGAGTGAGGGAAAGTTAAACTCGCCCTCCCTGCCGCCTTCCACCCCTTCCTGGAGGAGCTGAGCGCTGGCCAAACCTGTGCAGTTTGCTTTGACCATTTTAGGACATGTTGCTGCTTCTGAGTTGGCTGGCCTCAGGCTGCTAAACAAGACCTTTCTCCCGAGTTACTAGTAGCAGAAGGAGTTGCTGAGCGACCAGCTGGCTAGTGAGGCATTGGCGGGAGGAATCGGGCAGGGCCCGAGGAGCCAGGCAGTGGCTGAAACACTCTCCTGCCCCCCATGCTCAGGGCTGGCCGGGCAGCTCTGCATAGCCCAGCAGTCCTTGGCAAGTAAAGCAAATCCTCCATTAGGTTCTCGGCCTTGTAGTGGGGGGCAGAGGAGTGCATGGTCACCCTCCCATGTGCTGCTAGGATCCATGGCATGGGTGAGAGGTGTATCTTCTGGCTGGTGAGCTGGGAGCTCCTTCCAGGGAAGAGGAGGCTGCCAGCCTGTGCCAAGAGGGCCTCTGCAAGCTTCCCAGAATGCTCCCTACCTCTGCCTCCTTAGGAGATTTTTTTTTTTTTTTTTTTTTTTTGCCTCTTGAGAAACTTTGACGAGCAGAGCTCTCCACTACTTCTGAAGCTGTGCATGGTGTTCAAAACCAGAACCCCGGTCTCCCTGGGCCATGGCTGGAGAAGCCTTAGGCAGAGACAGGGATTCCCAGGAAGGTCTGCTGAGGAAGGGCACCCAGCCCTGGCCTGGGTTTCTGCCATGTGGCAGGAAACCTCTGGGCCCAGGCTCTGTGTTTCCCTAAAAGGAATTGCTGCCTTGCAAAGGGCATGAAGCAGCAGCCCAGGCAGAGGAGGTCACTTAGAGCCTCAGGAATGCAGTCCCCTGGGAACCCCTGGCTTTGTGCTTGCTCAGGTGTCATGGAGGTCACATGCCTTTCCACCCTGGCCCGCCCATGCAGTCTGAGGATTTGGAAGGATTTGGGTCCTCTTTATCCTCCTCTGCTTCACACTATGGCAGGCTGGGGCCAGGACGAGGGGCCGCGAGTGGGGATGAGGATGAGGTTGCCCCAAGGATGTCTGGTGAACCTCCTTAGCTATTGAGGCCCCTGGCACCTGCTGTGTGTCACTAGCAGGCAAGAAACAAAGAAGGACAGGCTGTCCTGGGCAGAGGAGAACATGGGAGTGCTAGGGAAGGAAGCAAGCTGACGAGGAGAGGGAAAGAGCCTGCAAGTTGGGCTCATGGAGTCCTTCATCTTAATGGAGAGCAGCAAGCAAGACCGCCCCTCATTTCAGGGGCCAGATAAGATGGCCTCTCCTCTCTTAAGAAACCCTTTTCCCCATAGGCAGGCAGGACTGAGGTGGAAGTTTCTGGGCCCCCTTGCGATGGAGGGCAGTCAGTCCATTCTGTAACAATGGATGGGCCAGAAGCCTCGTCCCCTCCAGCCACGCTGCAGTCTTGGTCCAGCAGGATCTGGTGGCCTAATGTCTGGAGGCTGGACGTGAGCTTTCTAGAACGTGGAGAAGCTGAGCGTCACCATGAGAGAAGAGGAACTGAAATCCCTCAAGGACTCCAGTGCCACTTGGGTGGCCAGCATTTAAGTCTGCTAGACAATGTTTGCCTTTATGTAAAAGGCAAAGTGATTGAGGCGCTGGTTCATTCTCCCAATGCCAGAAACAACCGAAGTTAGGCCTGGATCCCACAATCCAGCCAGGTCTCCCACTTGGCAAAGAGGGACTCAAGGCCTTGAGCTGCCTTCAGGATGCACCTGAGCTGGAAGCGGGATGGGAAGCAGAGCCTGTGCCAAGAGGGCCTCTGCAAGCTTCCCAGAGCGCTCCCTACCTCTGCCTCCTTAGGAGATTTTTTTTTTCCGCCTTTTGAGAAACTTTGATGAGCAGGGCCTTAGCTCACTGCACTGCACTGCCTTCCCCTGCACTGGATATTTAAAATGTGGCTAATGTGACCAAGTAACTAAACTTTAACCTTGGCTGTTATTAGTGTAAACACACACACCTAAGGAAGGAGACAGGCCTGTGTTTCTCCCCTGACACAGGAGGCTTAGGGAAACAGGTGTGTGCCTTTCACTGTCCGTGGATCTGACGCTGGATCTGGAACCTCTGCCAGGAGGTTGAAGGGAGAGAGGGAGGGCGGGTGGGTAGGGCTGGGGAGGAGTGCTTTGGTCATAAGGGGGAGAGAGAGAGTGTGTGTGTGTGTGTTCATTCGGAGATTCCTGAGCGCCCACTTGGCACCTGCCTACCCACCTTATTTGCGCTTGGAGTGTACTCATTCACCCTCTGCCTGCAGTGGGAGGCCTGTTCTTCACCTCTCTGCAGTTTCTCCCTACTGAGTCTGCCTTCTGCCTGTAAATGAAAGTCTGCCAGCCTTCAACCAACAGTGCTGCCAAATGCATGAGCTAAGGCAATAGCTCCCTGTTACCTGGGCAGGCTGCCCTCATTAGTCACTGTGCCCCTTGCTTCATCATTCCAGGGCTGGCTGAATTCACCATTCTTTTTCTTTGGGTGTTTTTTGGGGTTTTTTTTTTTAGTATCTATTTATTTTTATGGGAAAGGCAGATTTAGAGAGACAGAAAGAAAGCTCTTCCATCTTTTTTATTAAAGTTTTATTTTATTTTTATTGGAAAGGCAGATATACAGAGAAGAGAAAAGACAGAAAGGAAGATCTTCCATTCGATGGTTCAATCCCCAAGTGAACGCAACAGCCGGAGCTGAGCCAATCCAAAGCCAGAAGCCTCTTCCAGGTCTTCCACGTGGGTGCAGGGTCCCAAGGCTTTGGGCCGCCCTCAACTGCTTTCCTAGTACACAGACAGGGAAAGCGGGGCCGCCAGGATTAGAACCGGTGCCCATGTGGGATCCTGGTGTGTTCAAGGCCAGGACTTTAACCTCTATGCTATCTATCACACCAGGCCCTGGTTCACTTTCTAAATGGCCACATTGGCTGGAGCTAAGCTGATCTGAAGCTAAGAACTTCTTCTGGGTCTCCCATATGGGTGCAGGGTAGCAAAGCTGTGGTTAATCCATCTTCTACTGCTTTTCCTGATTTATTTTTTGTTGGAAAGTTAGATTTACAGAGAGAAAAATTCTGCATCCAGAATTCTTAGAGAGTGTGTCCACTCCCCAAGTGGCCAAAACAGCCGGAACTGAGCCGATCTGAAGCCAGGAACCCGGAGTTTCTTTCAAGTCTCCCATGGGGGTACAGGGTCCCAAGGCATTGGACCATCTTCTACTGCTTTCCCAGGCCACAAACAGGAAGCTGGATGGGAAGTGGAGCAGCTGGGACATGTACTGATGCCCATGTGGGATGTCCATGTCAGTGCTTGAAGGGGAGGATTGGCTGATAAAGCCATTATGCTGGCGCCTGAGTTCCTCATTCTTGTCATTTTTCTGACACTTCCCACAGCCTGCTTCTCCAGCTTCTGGGACCTCCTTTTCCCAAAGCCCTCTTCTGGCTTGTCTGCTCAACACACTTGTTTTCATTGCTTTTTTCCTCCTCAGCAGTGTCACTGTGTTGATGGCTTCAGCTCCCATCTCACCACAAATGCTTCCTCAGCCTGCACACTTAACTCTGATGCTGCAGTCTCTGCTGACAGAGATTGCTAGGACATCCACAGATTAAGTACAATGCAACCGTGACATTCTTAGGTGGGAAGGAGTGTTAGAGATTAAAACGACCCAATATATGGCCCAGAGAAATGGCTTTTGGTTAATCCTTCCCTTGCAAGTTCTGGAATCCCATATGGGTGTCGGTCCATGTCCTGGTTGCTCTACTTCCCATCCAGGTACCATCCTCTGGTTCACTCCCTAAATGGCCCCAACAGCCAGAGGTGGGTTACGCCAAAGCCACGAGTTGCTTTGGGTCTTCTCTGCAGCTACAGGGGCTCAAGCACTTGGACTAGCTTCTGCCCTCCCAGGTCCTTAGTGCTAGTCCAAGTGCTTGACCCTTGCAGTCACAATGCTACATCCTTTCTACCACCTTTCGGTCCCCACCCCTACCTTTAATTTTGGTTTAACTATCACTAAAAGCTCAACAGCTTCTAGACGAATGGGAGCATGAGAAAGCATCCTCATTCTACCTGGGTATGGTCTTACTGGTTGAAAATAATGTTCCTCTCTATGTCTGCCTCTCCAATAAAAATAAGTAAATCTTTAAAAAGAAAATGAAGCAGCCAGGACTCACACCTGGCACCTGTCTAGAATGCCAGCACGACAGGATGCAGCATAGTGCACCACACTATAGTGCTCACCCTGTGGTGCAAAAACTTTTGGCAGTCCTCACAATTTTTGCTTAATTTTCCAGGAATTTATTGAAGGTTTCTTATATAGATGAATTTCAAAAATTTTTGCACTAAAATAAACTTTAAAATGTATCTACCTGAAAGGTAAAAGAGATAAATGGAGATATCCTAATTCAGTGGTGTATTCCCCCAAAGTACCAGTAATAGCTAGAACTGAGCCAGGCCGATGCCAGGAGCCTAGAACTCAGTCCCATGTGGGAAGTGGGGACCTAAGTACTTGAGCCATCCCCCGGGCTCCCAGAATACCCAGCAGCCAGAAGCTGGACTGCACAGCACAACCAGAACTTGAAGCTAGGCATTCCAACATGGCGTGACTTCACTGCCACACCGAGCACCTGTCCCCTCGTCCCACAAATGAACAGCTTACCTTTTAAGGTCCTTTTCTCCAGGGACCTTTTGAAGAACCCTCGTCCAAACACAGATCTTCATGGGGTTTGTTTGTTTTTTGTGGTTTTTTTTCTTCTTCATTGTGTTATCAGGAATAGTTGGGTCCTTAATTTTCTTTTCTTTTTTTTTTTTTTTTTTTTTGAAGATTTTGGGTTTTATCAGAAAGGCAGATATACAGAAAGAGAAAGATCTTCCATTCGCTGATTTACTCCCCAAGCGGCCACAACGGCTGGAGCTGAGCTGATCCAAAGCCAGGAGCCTGAAGCTTCTTCCAGGTCTCCAGTGTTGGTGCTGGGTCCCAAGGCTTTGGGCCGTGCTCGACTGCTTTCCTGGGACATAGTCAGGAACCTGGATGGGAAGTGGAGCAGCCAGGATCAGAGACAGGCCCAGCTGTGTATTTTCTTGGTTTTTGGTTAATCTACTTTTCTCATCTCTAATTTGCATTGCCTGTATAATAAGACGAGCCACAATGGAAGTGACACTCAAAAGTAAAGCAGGCTCAGCCAAGAACCAGGTCCAGGATGTGGGTGGCCGAAGCGGGATGGAGTGAGGTGTTTGAAGTCCAGTGTGTTGTGGGAACGTTGGGCAGGTAGGCCCCATGCGCACTGCTAGTGCAGTGGAGACCGGGCAGTGGCATGCTTCCATGAGTGAGAGGAAGGCGAGCACGAGCGGCCAGGAAGGACGAAGGTGGTGTCAAGGAGAGCCTCTCCTGCTTCAGCCGTCATCTGTGTATACAGGAAGAACCAGCCTTCTGTCCCCTCAGCTCCCCTTCTGTCTTCTCACAGCTGTATTTTTTTTAAGAGATTTTTTTTAAAGATTTATTTTATTTTTTGTTGGAAAGGCAGATATACATAGAGGAGAGACAGAGAGGAAGGTCTTCCGTCCGATGATTCACTCCCCAAGGGAGCGCAACGGGCTGATACTATGCCGATCCAAAGCCAGGAGCCTCTTCCGGGTCTCCCACGCGGGTGCAGGGTCCCAAAGCTTTGGGCCGTCCTCGTCTGCTTTCCTGGGCCAAAGGCCGGGAGCTGGAAAGGAAGTGGGGCTGCCGGGATTAGAACCGGCACCCATATGGGATCCCAGGCGTGCAAGGCGAGGACTTTAACCACTTGCGCCACCGCGCCAGGCTCAAGATTTATTTATTTTTATTGGAAAGGCAGATATACAGAGGGAAGGAGAGACACAGAGAAAGATGTTTCTATCTACTGTTCACTCCCCAAGTGACCGCAACGGCCAGAGCTGAGCCAATCAGAAGCCAGGAAACTCTTCCAGGTCTCCCACATGGGTGTAGGGTCCCAAAGCCTTGGGCCATCCTCAACTGTTTTCCCAGGCCACAAGCAGGGAGCTGGATGGGAAGCGGGGCCGCCGGGATTAGAACCCAAACCTATATAGGATCCTGGCGCAAGGAATTTAGCCACTAGGCTACTGTGCCTGGCCCTTCTTCCTTTTCTTTTTTTTTTTTTTTTAATATAAATAATTGTGGCTTCACTGGAAGTTGCAGAGAAAAGGTCAGGGAAGTGTCCGGCACCTCGCTTGCAGCATTACTGTCTTAGGAACTGCAGTACAGTATCCAGCCAACTGGCCTTGGGACAGTGCATAGGGCTTGTTCTAAACTCACCAGTCCTGTGTGCCAGCTGGGCATGGGGGTGTGTGTCCACAGTTCTGTGCAGGCCTCTCCCAAGCACAGTCTTGCTGAGCCGCCCACCATAGGACTCCTGTGTTAGCCCTTGGTGGCTACACGCATGCTTGCCCTCAGCATTGACCCCTGGCAGCCACCAGTGTGCTGTCCATCAGCACCCTGCACTAGTTGAGTGTGGAGCCCTCTGACACTGGGTTTTCTTCATTCGGCATAGTTTCCTTAACATTTATCCATTTTATTATTATTAATTTTGGATTGTTTTCCTTGTGACTTATCTCACCTGTCTTTGTACTTGCTGTCTCCTTCTAGAATACCCTCTGCCAACCCTCTCTAGCAGTCCGTGTTCATTTCCATCAGCATGTGGCTCACTGTGCCTACACCCGACTGACTCAGGTCTCTCCCCTTGTCAATTGTATTCCTTGCATCACATCATCTTCCACCTGTCAGTAGAAGGCAGGGGCGATGCCCAGTTTGTATTTTTCTTCCCAGCTCCCAGGACAGTATTGGAGGTGTGGCAGGCTCTCGGTAAACAACTCTTGGAGTGAGAGATTAAAGTCAGTCTGTTAGGTTCTGAGGTCTTGGCTCCGTGCTACGCTGTGTTCCTTACTCAACTCCAGGCTTGAAAGCAGCAACTGCATTCCATTTGCTAGCAAACACTGGGGCCCACTTAGATCCCACTAGATGTTTAGTCAGCTGCTTCAGACAGCGTGTGCCTTTGTGTATGTTGGGGTGAAGTGTGGGCGTAAGTGTTTATGGGCTGGTTTCCCAGCTGCCCAGCCTGACTTCCCACAGTTAGCAGGACCGACCTGGAAATGTCGGGGCTGAAGACACTGGAGCACGTGGCTGTAACCGTGTCCATCACTCACCCACGCCGCGGCAACTTGGAACTGAAGCTGTTTTGCCCCAGTGGCATGATGTCCCTCATCGGTGCCCCACGCAGCATGGACTCGTACGTACAACTGCCCGTGGCCTTCTGAGACCTCCTCCTGACCAGGGCCACTGTGAGTGGTTACTGGCGCTGTCCTAAGCCACCATGGCCCTAGCTGTCTTTGGCAGCCGCCTCGCGCCTTCACTCAAGTGCGTGGGCTGTGCAAGGGTGCACTTTACCTGTGTCCTCTCACCCCTGTGTGGACTTCCAACTCCATCAGCTCCTTTTTACAAATGCAGAGCTAGTAAGTGCTGAAAAACCAAGGATGCACTAAATCCATCGGGCTCCCTGCACCACACTGACATGAGCCCCTCATGCCCTGAGGTCCCAGGAGCAAGGGACAGCACTAGAAGATCCTTGTAGCACCCTCTCTGGATCACCACAGCTCACTTGCATGTCTGTCAGAGCAAAGAAATACTATTTCCAGAAGGACTCAACCCCCTCCACTTTCTCTGCCTGGTTCTCCCCGCAGGGATCCCAGCGGCTTCAACGACTGGACCTTCTCTACTGTGCGATGCTGGGGGGAGAGAGCGAAGGGGGTTTATAGACTGGTCGTCAGGGATGTGGGTGAGCTCCCTGCTGTCCCCCCAGGGCCCTGCCTCCCCTGACTGTCCCCAGCCCTGTCTGCATCTCAGAGTCCCCACAGAGTGTCCCACGTGGAATACAAAGGGTTGCCACTGGACCAGGAGGGCAGCTGCCAAGAAGTATGCCCCCTTGAGACCGTGGGCATTGATATCTAAGACTGTTCATTTATACCACCTCTCGTATTCTTTGGAGAAGTGACTGATCCATTCTTCCTCAGGATAGCAACAAAAATTCCTTGTTGAGCCACATTTCAAGTCCTTTCACATATAACCATCCTTCGGCCAGGCCCAGTAGGCAGGTAAGGGCAGGACTAATCTTCCCCATTCTTTTTGAACAACTGAAGTCCAGAGATCTGGAGTGACTTGCCAGGGGCACTGCAGTCTCAGTAAACACTGACCCTGCAATCCCAGAGAAGAATCTGGAAGTGGAGCCCAAACTCCCAGCTTCCAGTCCAGTTAGGTATTCATGAGACCAGTGCTTCTCAAACCTGTCTTTAATTCAGTAGAAAAGACATGTTTCTCTCCCCAAGCAGAATTGTAGCTGAAACCCCCCAAAAGTCTGAGACATTTCTGTTGCAGAGTACAAGCTCTCTACCTCCCCTTCCTGTTCCTGGGGGACCCCACAAGGCATTCTGCACAATCTGGGGTGAGGGGAACACAGACAAGGGCTGCGGCAGACTGTGGGCTCTGAGTCCCTTTGAGGGCAGGGAGTGTGGCCGGGCTCTACCGGGTGGCACGGCCCATGGAGGGCATGGCTCACACATTGCCCTGCTTGCTGCCCCAGGAGATGAGTCACTGCAGGTCGGCGTCCTCCGGCAGTGGCAGCTGACCCTATATGGCTCTGTGTGGAGTCCAGTAGACATCAGGGACCGACAGAGGTGGGTGAGGCCGCGTATGTTGGAGGGGAAGAGGGGCCAGAGCATCCCCCTGCACTTAGAGCTCTGGGCTCAGGCCAGCAGTAGACAGAGCCGTGGGCCAGAAGCCCTGCTCTTGCCCTGTCCTTGTTACTGTGGGGCGGGAGTGTGGTGCCAGGGGTCAAGGGAAGGGCTTTCAGGAGGGCATCTTGGTCCCTGCCTTCTGCACAGGCTGCTGGAGAATGCCATGAGTGGGAAGTACCTGCATGACAGCTTCACCCTGCCCTGCCCCCCAGGGCTCAGCATCCCTGAGGAGGATGGGTACACCATCACTCCGAACACACTCAAGGTACGTGGCAACAGCAAGCCACACACAGGGATGTGCTGTGCTGGGTACCTGGTCCCTGGGTTCCCAACGGGAGTGGAATACCACTATTCCTACTGTACGAGCCCGCTCTTGGAGAGCAATGCTTGTGTGGGAGGTGAGCCGGAGATGCCCTGGGATGGGAGCTCAGTGGCTGCGGGTCTCAGACACCAGACCCTGACACATCCCTTGCTGTGACCCAGACCCTGGTGCTGGTGGGCTGCTTCACTGTCTTCTGGACCATGTACTACATGCTGGAGGTGTACCTGAGCCAGAGGAGCATGGCTTCCAGCTCAGCCTGCAGGAATGGGGCCTGCCGCTGGCCCCGCCGGACCCGGAAAGCCAGGGAGGAGGGCACAGAGCTGGAGTCTGTGCCACTCTGCAACCTCAAGGATCTTCATGGTGGGGAGGCAGAGAGCACAGACCCTGCTGCCAGCCCTGGCCTCCTGGACCCAGAGCACCTAGAAGAAGGGGCCTGGCACCCAGCCCTGAACAGCAAGGGTACTCTGGACTGCGCTCCCCAACAGTGCCCCCCAGAGCTGCTACAAGACCAGCAGGAGCAGATTTGCTGACCCCGGAGCTTGGCCCCTTGTGAGACACGCCTCCCTTCTCCAGATGGAAGGAACTGGGAAAGCCGTTCCCAGCCGACTGTGGGAGCTCTGGGAGAAGGGCCTCCACAGTGTCCTCCAGCTGTGCTCAGGGAGTGTAGGCCTTCTCCGGGCTCCAGGGGCAGGGGATTGATGCCAGAGAACGCTCTGGTGAGAGCCACAGGTCTCCCTTCAATTCAACAGGAGCTCCTGGTGACAAGGTCTTGGACAAGGCCATTGGTGTTCCATTGGGAAAGGCTCCAGCCTCTAGTCTCTTGGGCAAGCAAGAATGGAGAAGGTACCTGTTGTGTCAAGGAGAGCTTCTCACAGAGGCTTCTCGGGGTCACTTAAGAAGGAGGTGCAAGGGAAGATGGCTGTGCCTGTCCTGAAAGCAGCTGCCTCCATCTCCTTTCCCTCTGCTCTTGTGCAGAAGGCAGCCTGGAACATGGCCATGCCCTGTCACCCCAGGGGAAGTATTGGTACGAGGGCCTAGCAGGGGTGGGGCTCAGCTTCCTGGGGCCAAGATGCCCCCTTAGGGAAGTCGGGAAGGAGGCAGAGCAAGTGCCACTCAAGGGCCGAGAAACCCTGTCTTCCTCTGCAACCGCTCAGGGACACAGCCCTCCTCGGAGGCCAGCTGCCTGCCTCCAGGCTGGGCCTCCTCCCCTAGAACCAGCTAATGGGCTGATTGGAATTTTCCTTTTAAATGCTGAAGTTTGGGCTTACTCTTTTCACAGCAACATTTTGTTGGCTTTTTTTTTTTCTGCACAGCTTTTCCAAAATAAAAATCTTCCAAACCATCCTGACCCCACTTCCCTGTCTCTTTTGACTCCTGCACCCCTAAGAGCTCACAGACGTGGCCAGGCTGTTCCTCTTGCCCTCAGTCCCCGAGCCCCCCTCTCCTGTTGTGCAGCCTGCTCCCCAGGGAGGACTCAGGGCAAAGCAAACCGCCAGCCAGGCCTGAGAAAAAGGCATGGATATATTTGTTTCCTTTTTGAATTTCCACCCCCAAAAGTATTCCAGGAAAAGTAGGAGGAGGCCGAGCTGAGTCTCCGCCAATAGGCATTGTTGCCAAGGACAGTGGTGGGCTTGCCCCACCCCCAAGGCTACCCCTGCCTGGCCGAGGATGGGGAGAGGCAGGGACAGGGACAGGGGAGGGGTGGGGAGCAGGGCAGCAGCGGTGCTCTGGGGTAGGGAGTCAGGCTGAGGCGGGGGGCCGTGAGGGGAGCTGCCCGTGTGCAGTCACCTTTGTCCAGTGACAGCCTGGAAGCTTGGCCAGGGCCGAGACCCAACACAGGTGTGGGTGAGGCGGCTAAGCAGATCGGAGCCAGGGAAGCGGGGGCTCGGGGCTGACCCTGGCCCTCTAGCTGATGATCTGCCGAGGCCTGCCGTAGCCCGTCATGCCGGCCTGCGAGGCCCCTCTGTTGCTGCCCATCTGAAGGCCAATGACATGCTTGCCCTCCTGCAGCTGGCTCTCTGTGAATTCCCGCTTGTGCTCCTGGGCTTTCCTAAAGAGAAGGAAGCAGGAGAAAGTGTTGGCAAGACAGCGTGGTTTCACCTGCTTGCTGTTTCCTCTGGGACTCCCTAGCTGGATCCCATTGCCTCCCAGTTCTGCTTGTCTTTTTAACTTCCTCTCACTCCCCTCATGGGCTAAGGAGGCCAATGGGGAGCAGCAGGGTGGGAAGGGAGGTAGACCAAAAGTCCGCCCATGCTCCCCATCACACCTCCCTGGTTCTTTGCTACCTCTAATCATTGCCACCACCAGCTGGCTGGGCCAAGCCACATCCACACAGGCTCCCTGGAGACCACATACTTCATAAACCAGCTGGGATCTCCACGGTAATGCCCATCGTTCTTGGTCACTGCCAAGCTGCCCAGAGCCATCAGGGTCCTCTGTACTGCTGCCATGTCTTTGCCTGAGAGCAGAAGGAAGGGTCAGGGGACACACTCAGAACCATTACACAAGCAAACTGCAACCAAGTGGTACCCGGACCGACCCCACAGGAGGTGCTGCAAGCACAGCGCACTGGGCCTCGGCCCAGATCCCCATCAGCACCCTCCCCTCCACCACACCTCCTGCCATACCTTCAAAGAGGTCAACAGTCTGGAACATGTCCGTCTTGGTGACCCCGTAGTCCTCCGCTGCCTTCAGGAACTGGGCTACCTGCTCCATCTGCTTAAAGACCATGGAGGGGGGGTTCTCGGGCACCTTGACCGGCTTGGAACTGTCCGGGTACAGGCTGTTCACCAGCTTGCTCAGAATCTGCCAGGCAGAGGACACGGCTAGCACTCCACTCAGGGGACTCCCTGCCCCCTCAGTCAGGGTGTGACAAACCCCAGCGTCCCTCACAGAGGGATACTCACCACACCATTCTTCAGCCAAACCTGGAAACCCAGGCGCCCGCGGTCAGGGCGGCCCACGTCAGGGCCACACTGCACAATGATCCACTCCACCAGCCGCTCCTCCAGCTCCTCGTCATACTTCTTCTCGATTTTAGATTGCACCTCCCGGCTCATGCCGTAGGAGGGACCCTTGTTGGCCATGCTGGGGAGAGCTGAAACCGGACAAGGGAGCAGGTCAGAGAATCAGGCCTGCCTGGGTTTATCACAGCACCACCCATCTGGGCCGGGCTCAGCCCCACCTGCCCCATCCCCATCCAGAGGCCTCTCTGAGTGTGAAGACGGTAAGTGAATCAGCTTTGGGGATGTCTAGAGCAGGGGTCAGTAACATTCTCGAGGTTTTTGCAGGCTGCTGTGTTATCCTGGAAGCAGCCTTGGGTAACGTAAACAAAGGAGTGCAGCTGTGTTCCAGTAAAGCTTTACTGACAAAAACTGCCTGTTGAATCTGTCCCACGGGCATCTGTTTTTGAAAACTGGCTTGTAGCGTTCGTTGCTACGGCATTCAGAGGTCCCACAGAGGCCACACTGTCCCCACAAATAAAGCCAGTAGCTGTCTCATCCAGCAGGATTCAGGTAGCATTCTCTAGCACAGGAGCTATAACTCCAAAACATCTCTTTTCAGCCCCACTGGTCCAGCCACTGGCCTGTGGCTACCTAGGCACTAGCTCGCTCAGCCCTGGGGCTGGGGAGCCACCGAGGCCCCAGAGCACTTGGCAAAGAAACCATCTTTCATCAGGGCTGGCAGGAGTCAACTGGTAAGTCCATGGACATGCCTCATGTAGAGCTCTCCCCACAGCTGTAGTTTGAGGAACCGTTAGGCCTGGGCCTCTGGGGACGTGCCAGAGCCAGGAACCTGCCAGCCAGAGCCTGGGGGCCCTGTCCTAGCCAGTAACTGCTGCCGTGGGGCAGGGGTGTGGGTCTGGGCCTGGTCGTGCCCAATATGACTCAAGGGCAGCGAAGGCTGCAGGTGCATGGGCAGGCACTTGGGTCATCGGGTAGACTTGAGTGTAGCTGGTCGAGAGGACCCGGATAGTCCTGGCCACAACGTCTCCTGGGGTGGTATGCCCTCTGCCCCTTATTTGTGTAAAGAACTTTCCCGATGCACTGCCGAAGGAACCCAGTCCCAGCCCCTGGCCTCAAGAGGTCAATGGTGGAGGCACCCAGGGCATCTCACAATCCTCTCCCCCAAACTCTGTGGGAGCTGAGACCCTCCACCCACGCCCACCCCACGGGAAGCAGTGAGAGCCTCCCCACAGCCTCCTGGTCCCTGCCAGCCAGCACACTGTGCCCGGGTCTTATCTTCTGGAGATGAGTTCCCCAGCTGTGGAGCAGCATGGCCTCCAGAGGCTGTGACTCACCAAGCACCCTGCCCCACCCTCAGCAGAGCTCCTCCAAGTTGCCCAGGACCAGTCTTCTGTCCATGCCAGGCAAGCAGGACTGAAGGGTGAAGAACAGCACTTGCTCTTTCCTATTCCCATGTCCAGTCCTCTCTCAAAACCATTCCCTGAGCTGACAACAGAGCCAGAGGCCAGCAGCTCTTCCAGGCTGGGTCCTCTTAGAGTAAGTGGGCCACACATGGTCAAAAATATGTAAATTGGTTAGGAGCAGGTGATTTTGGCCAAGACTCCCTCCTGACCTCTTGGTCATCCCGCCACCCCCAGGTCTCTCTCAGCCTTTACAGCCCCATCTCTCTCCTGCCCCGCAGAGACCGGCTCTGTATGAGAAGAGAGTCTTGCCCCCACCCAGCTCTGAGACTCAAGAGAATCAGAACACACCAGCCAAGGGTGCAAGTTCATGGGTGCAGCCTAGATCCAGGACAGAATGTGTTCTTGGGGCCAGCAAGGGAGGGGATGAAACACATGCCCATGCGTGCGTGTGCACACACACACACACACACACACTGCCCGCCCCTGCCCCCTTCTCCCTGGCTCCCTCCTAGGACAGGTCTAAAAGTGGGGAGTCCCAAGAAATCCTTTGGAGTCTCGAAGGAAGATCTTGCTGGTCCCCGCTTCCAGCCCAGGCAGCTTTGGACAAATCCCACCACTCCCTGCCCGCGCCCACTCCCAGGACAGCTTTGCCTCTCCTCTCTCGTAGTGGTCCAGTGGGTGAGAACAGGCAGTGGAGAAAGACCAAAATCCAGGGACACCGCCTCACCAGCAGGAGCCCAGAAAAACCAGCAGAACAGGGTCTCTCTGGGACTGTGGGCATAGGGCACACGGGGGAAGTGGGAGCCGGCACCGATGGCTTCCCACAGAGGGCCTGGGGTAGCTCCTCTGAAGCCTGGCACAGCAGCCCACTGCTCACGCTCACAGCTACACTGGGAATTGGCAGCAGTGGCAGAGAAAAGACCCTTTGGGGAGGTCCAGGGTCCCTGTCCTGTCTGGCCCCTCCCTCCAAATGCTGCTTCCCCTACCGCCACCACCCCATCCCAGGCAGAGCCCTATTCTCACCTACCCCTGCCCCCAGCCTGCAGCAGTCACCCCCAACCTGGATTGGAGCACAGGGGTCTTTGTGACCCTCACACTGCCCCCAGCCCTGACACAGGATGTTGTTGTCCAGCGCGGTGGGCAGACACGCCCCTCACCTGCTTGGATATCCTCCTGGCGGGACAGCCAACTCATCCTGTGGGGAGCCCCATATGGTACCCTGAGTGACTTCCCCTTTCAAAGAACCTGGCCGTCCAGTCTGAGCCAGGTTGGGGGACCCATGGCACCCTCCCTCCAACCTGCCCCAGCTAGCGCACAGACACTGCTCTGTCTGGCTGGAAGGGTGGGCATCCCTGCCCCTGGGAGGCTCTGGCCAGGGTCCTAGGTAGAACGCTGCCTGCCCTGTGTCAGCTGCCACTTCCCTCCATGCCCAAGACAAAGGCACTTACAGAGGATCCTCGGGGCTCGCAGGAAGGAGTGAGGTGTTGCGTCTGGGCTGGGGCAGACAGGACGGGCGCTGGCTGGGTGAGGGGTTTAAAGGGCCTGGCCGCAGTGATGTCAGCCTCCCCCGCCGGCTCGCCCAAGGCCCCCCCCCCCCCCTGCAAGGAGGAAACCGGCTGGACTCCCCACCCCCAGCCCCGCAGTGACTGCACTCAGGCTCCATATTTGGGGAAAGACACCAAGTTGGAGCAGTCTGCCGGGGGCTGCCCGAGACATTCTCTGCATGCTTTGGTGATGGAGCCGGCGGGGCGGGACTGCGGGGCTGCGGGGAGCCGCCGGGAAGCGCCTTTTATGGGCAGGACCACGAAAGCCTTCCCAGCTGCTGTTCGGACTTGGGGCTGCTCCCTGCCCCCAGGTCTGAGGGGAGGTGGAGTTCAGGAGTTTGGAGGAGTGACTCAAGGAACTGGGGAGCCCAGAGGCTTGTGGGGGACAAGCCAAGCACCCACTGCCCGGAGGAGCTTTAGCTCTGATCAGAGATGACAACTGTACTTTCATGCAGGTGCTCCTGCAGACACTTGCTCTAACACAGATATACTGTGGAGCGCAGTCACAGCTCCATTTTACGGATGAAGAAACCGAGGCCGAGTGTGGCTCCCTGCAAAGTGCGGGAAGAGTGGCAAGACTACTCACGCAGACCCTCTCTCAGATGCTGCCACTCCAGCTCTGCCCTGGTTGCAGGCAGCTCTCTGTAGCGGGGTCGGGGTGGGGCTTCAGATAGGTGCTTTACCAAAAGGGTGTGACTGGAGAGTCCATGACAGCCAGGTGAGCCCCAGCTCCTATCCCGAGGGGTCTTTAAGGCCTGACAGGACTTGAGAAGAGGGTGGGAAGCTCCAGAAGCCAGGTAGGTAGGCCACAGCACTTTACACACACACACCAGTGGCACCCCAAGCCTGAGTCAGTCAAACACACACACACACCCTTCACCCCCCCAGTAACGCCCCAAGCCTGAGTCAGTCAACACCCCAGAGGGAGGAAGCCAAGCCCACCTCAGAAGCTCCACCTGCCACTAGCCTGGCTCATGTGAAGCCACAGCGCCTCCGTGTGGCGCTTGAAGGGAACAGCAGAGAGCAGAACTGGAGAGACAAGCCAACCAACCTCCTTCTGGACCCCAGGTTGTCTTGAATTCAGGATTCCTGCTATTCCCCCTCCCGCCCCCACTTTGCCCTTCCCAGGGCTGCTGAAACAAATTTATCTCCCAGGAGTTATTTCAGTCTGCCATAATTTTCAGCAACGCCTTGCCCACCCAGCCTCCTGCTCACCACCTTTGGCTGCCTTGCCGCCTGACTAGTGGAGGAAACTGCCACCAGCCTGTCAAGTCAGGAAGCTCTCAGGGAAGCCAGATTCTGGCAGGCGGGCAGAGGATGCTGTTCAGGGAATCTCAGGCTGTGTTCCAAGCACAGAGCAGACCCCTGGGGAATGTGCTGCTGCTTCAGGTGGGGCAAAACACCTCAGGGGAAGCCAGGAGCTGCAGTTCCTGGTGGGATGACCTCAGCTGGGGCAGGAGGAAGCCCAAGGCCCACCTCTCCACCTGACACTCAGCACCTCCACCCAGTGCAGGAGAGCACACGAGGCTAGAGAAATGCACTGCTCCTCTTTATTAAATGCATTCATAGAAAACAGAAATGCAACTGCAACGTGAAAGGACGTAAAAAGGGGTCCTGGGAAAAGACCCCAGTTCTTATATCCCTTTCCCCGGCCCAAGGAGGGATATAAGAACAAGTCTGGCAGAGTGAAGCCCACCTTGCCTGCCCCCCTGCCAAGGTGGAGGCCTGACGCCACCTCCCCCCACCATTGGCATCTGGAATGGACTGCATGGTGGAGGGAGGGCAGCCATGGGGCCCAGGCTGGGAGCGACTCCATGTAAACCACAAGGCTTTGTATGTACACACGTATGTGACTAACACAGAACTTGGCTCAGGACTGGCAGAAACTCAGAAGCCAGCCCCGGATCCTAGAATGGGTCTGAGATCAGGCCCCAGGGGCTAGTAGTGGGCCCCTTCCTGAAGCCCCCCTTCTAAGGCAGACACTGGAGCTCCCATGCACATGGAGGAGGCAGGAGGGCCTAGGCCCTTCACGTGGGCCCTCCGTGGCCTCGTGACATTCATGGGCAGTGTCAATGGCACTGAAAGGTCCCCAGCTGGGGTTTGGCAGGATTCGGGGAAGGGAAGGGGTGAGGGGCTTCTCCTTCCAATCCTGGGGACAGCTTGAGGAGGTCAAGCTTGAATCTAGGCCCTCTTGGTCACCTCCTGCAGGTGGGCAGACCCTTGTTGCTTGGACGGATGGGTATCCTTGGGCACGAATCAGAGAGAGGAGGGCCGTGCCCAGGGCACCTTGCACCCAGTGCCTGGCACCAGCAAGCCAAATCCCAAGAGTTCACACACTCACCCTTCCTGGCTACGGAGTGGGCTGGTAGCCATGGTGGCCAAGTGCAGCCCATACACAAGTGGGGCCCCGGGGCAGGACAGAACATCAGGTCCCATGCCAGGGTCCTGGAGCGTGAGCGTGGAAGGAAGGAGTTAGATTCCCAGGCTGCGGAGGAGGGCAAGGACTGCGGGATGCCAGGCATGGAATGGGAGGAGGCTGCTGTCCCTCCTGCCTTCTGCACAGGGACAAACGGAGAGCCCAAGGATGGGGGCCATGCAGGCCCGAACACTGAGAAGAAAGCAGCAGTTTGGCCCACATTGGGGATTTTAGGGTGGGATGAGGGGAGCTGTGGGGCAAGCCTCCTCCTCTCCAGCAGAGCTCAAGGCCATAAGGTTCAGTGGCACCCATGACTGTCCTGGGCCAGGCCTGGCCTTGAACCTTGCTGTCCTGCCACTGTCCATTCCCAGGCAGTGGGACCTGGGATGCATACCCCTTGCATTATAGGGGCAACCGGCAGGTGACACGGGGGGCTCAGAGCCCCCTGAGGTGAAGCAGAGGGCTGGGTTCCTAGAAGACATAGATCTTGTCACGTTGGACGGTATCCAGGTCGTCGTCCAGCGTCAGCAACACCTGAAGGTAGGCGGGGGGACACAGGGTGAGGTGCAGGCAGAGGCACATTCTGTGGCTGCACCATGCCCAGCCTTGGGCTGCCCCCAGCCACATACCAGGAAGGACCCAAACATGGCGATGGAGGAGAGGAAGTGCCAGATGTCGTGGTCGTCAAAGAAGTCGAGGAGGATGCAGTCTCGGTTGTGTTCTCTCGACTCTGCTGGGGTTTTCTGGGGGTGAACCAGGACAACAGCCCACTGACCCCTGCGCTGGCCGGACCAGGGCCAGACCCTGGTTGCCCAGTCCCAGGCAGGAAAGCCCCGCTGACTAGGAAATGGCCGTGGTCACCAAGTCCCCCTCTGCCTCCCAAGCTCTTCTTGACCCTGTAGGCTGTCTTTCTGGATTCTCCCGCGCCCCCTACTCCCTGTGATCAGAGGTGGTAGTCGTGACCTGGAGAGGCCTGCAGATGCTGGCCAAGGCCTCCCAGCCTGCTGTTCTAACGTGGGTGCTGTTCCTGCCCTTACAGGGCGTTGAGTTTGCCGTTTGTTCCAAAGTTCAACTGGCAGGTCACACTCTGCCCACAAACCACCCCTGCCACCTCAAGGAAGCTTTCCAGGTATGCCTAAACCAGTGACCTCACCAGCCTCTGTGCTCAGGTCCCGGTCCACTGCCCGTGTCCTGCCTCAACTGCGCCCTTTAGCTCTGTCTCTGGGTGTCAACAGTAAGGCATAGCACGCTCTGCCCTCTTATCCTCGCTAACCAGGCTGAGTGGCTCAACAGCAGAGACCATTGTCCCACTTGGCTCTGGTCACAGAATCAAATCCAGCCACACAGTCAGTGCCTCCTCACCCTAGCCACACATTTCCCGGCAGTATGCCCTAGACAGAGCCCTTCGGCAGAGGGCCGGCACTTAAAACCCATTCCCGCATTGTCCCTGCCACCCCAACTGGCCATCACACATAGCACAGGTCAAGGACAGCTGAGCTCGAGGCTCTTACGGTTTGCCTCTCTGAGCCTCAGCTGCCTCTGCCCCAACCAGACATGCCATGAGGCTGGCATGTGAAGACGACTGAGTGAGAGCAGCCTGGAGAGCGCTGTGTCTCCCGAATTTGCTTGGGAAGAGCCACTCACCTGCCAGGTGCTGAGGCCCTGGAAGAAGAAGAAGAGTGCAAAGCCCCAGACCACAGACGTGCACACGATACACAGCAGGGGGATCAGCTTGATCCTCTCCCCGCTGCGGAGCTGCAGGGATAACAGGGAAAGAGGACGGGGGCAGGAGTGTGAAGGCCTGGCCCGGCTGGTGCCTTCCCTATCCTTGCTCCGACCTCCCCAGTGTTTTCCTAGGCTGGCAGGGCTTGGCTTTTAGGAAACCCTGCATTCCTGGCACCCAGGATGGCCACGGGGCTCCATCTATTCCCACGCTAGCCGCATGGTATCCTCCTTCCTGAGCCCAGAATTGTATGCCAGCCAAGACTTTTGGCCTGGGGTGATCCCCACTTACGGGGTCCTCTCATGGGACCTCAGAGGTTCCAGGCCCCCACACCCTCAGGGAGCCCCGTCCCCCAGCCCTTCTGCGAGGACAGGAACCCTCAATGCAGCCTCATGGGCCCCTCCAAGGGCAGGGCAATGTCTCCAAGGTACACGGAGCCTGGCCCTCCCTCCTCAGGCTTCACTGGCACAGACAGACAGCAAAACTGTCACTCCGTCTCTCTGCTGCCCAGACGGTTCACACCCAACTCTCTCCCCAAAACAGAGTGGCTGACTGAGCCGAGCTTCGGGTCTTCCCCATTCACCTTCATGATGATGTAGAAGGCAAAGTACAGCAGCAGGTTGCAGATGCCAATGGCCAACAGGTAGGAGGCGAAGTCATTGGGGCGCATGATGAGCCCATAGGCAGCCCTGGTGAGGGGGAGGAGGAGCTCAAGGCAGCTGAACAAAGGTCTTCCCACTGACCCCTAGCATGCTGTGGGGCTGGGGTCAGAGGCCCATGGAAGATTCCAGAAGCCCAGGGATCAACATCTTGCTCCTCAG